TCAGTGCTACTCGATTCACCTATCCAATGCCCACAACAAAAATTGCAACAATTTTTACAAGGGTGACTGCAGACGATAAACCCGCACCCTCAGATTAGCAAAGCGGAGTTTACGTCTGCATTTGCGGACTAGTGTGTGGCGTGCGTGGTGCAAACTAGGAAGAGATTTATCTCATATTTATCCAATTATTTATTATAATCATTTAGGCCTAATATTTATACAAAGGTGCCAAACACATTGAGGAAAGAAGGTATACGACCTTATACTTTATGATATAACATTTGAAATCCTAATAATCATATGTTTGTGCAAGCTCTGTTTACCTCTGCTTGCCCAATCTCAAGATTGGTTGCCCAAACTGCAGATGCGCTGAAATTCCAAGTTTGTGCAAGATCCCAAGTTTGGGCACAACAGCCACAGCCCTGTGCTGTAGTCTGTAGTACGTTGCATTATCCAAATTTGGCATCCAGAGAGACCGGGTACAAGGAGCACAAGATGCGTTGTTCCCCGACCACCGAGAGCGGTTAAGCCGCGCACTTCCGCGGGACTGGGCGCACGCGACCGCGGTGTGTTGTATATAGCATCTCGTGCTGCCCGCTATACGAATTCGCGCGCCGAAGGAGGGCGGGCGCGCGAATCCGTATAGCGGGAAGCAGGCCTCGAATTAAGCGACGAGAGGGGCAAGGCAATTTTTTGGGGGCATGTGAGAAATTGCCTTGAATTTTCTCTAAAATGGATGGGCACCGAGGCAATTTTAAAAGGCATCAAGGCAACTCTCACAATTTGAGAAGGGCACCAAGGCACTTTTGTAAAATAAAGGAAAACTTATAACAAATTAATAAAAAATTTTACCGTGTATGTACAGACCGTCTCCCGCCCACATGTACATCGTCTTCCGCCCCCATGTAAGCTTACACCGTAACACCGACCCCTGTACCCCCTGTCTGCTAATGGATCGAAGTACAGTAACAGGGTTCAACATTAACTTTTTATTTCACTAGACCATCGGGCTAGTAACTGAGGAAAACCACTAGCCCTGACCTAACATTCACTAGCCCAGACCCAGACCATTGTTATGAAAAACTTTGTGTCATCGTATGAATTCTACTAAAATTTCTCTAAATTTACTGCACTAACTAGCAAGCTACACACCGTACAAGCTGGCCATTCTTGCGCGAGTGTCGTTTACCGCGCTTTAAATCGCGCGCGGGCCGAGTCCGCGTGTACGTGCAGCATTTAAATATTCGTGTTCTACTACGGGCAGCCACGTTATTGTTTTTGCCGAAGGGTAGACTGGTATCCGGCCTCACGCTCTGCTAGACAATCTACACGCTCTGCGACAAACAGTGCGGCCGCGAACCAGTCTAGCCAGAGGCACCGACGGCAATTACAGAAAAGGGCAAGGCAGGTCACTGCCGTCGGTCGGGTTGGATTTTCAGGGGCAGTACGGCGATTGATAGGGGCACCCACGGCAATTGCCGTCGGTGCCGTCGGTTAATTCGAACCCTGGCGGGAAGCGTAACATCACGCAGTTTTCGTCACACACCGGCTTGGCTATGGCGGCCTTGGGTGGGGGCATTTGCTGCTGCTGCTGCAGAGCCGCGCTGCGCGGCAGGGGCGAGTTTTGGTTGCTGCTGCTGCTTTGCCAGTATCTACTTAGCTACGTGTAAAAACTGGCACGGCCACGCCACCACGTGCTCGCAGTATTCGCATGCACACCCGCCCCCCCCCCTGCCCCCCTCCCCCCCCACGCCCCCTCTCACCCCGCCCCCCCCGCCACTGCTCCCGCCCGCACACCCCCCCCCGTGCCGCCCCCCACCCCCACTGCCAGCGCGAGTCAATAAGTGGTAAAACCCTCGCAACCGCCGCTAAACGCAGTCGGCGCCGGCCACGGCGTCAGCACTCCTTCGGAGATCAACATACAACACCACCCCCGAGCCACCCACCCCCCCCCCACCCACCACAACCAACACCCGTGGCGACCCGATAAAACCACCCACTCCTCGCTACAACGCCTATCCAACATAAGTGATAAGGACCACATACACCTATACTCGGCAGTAGCCTGGATATCCACCCATGCGCCCCAACTAAGCCCCGACACCCAGGCAAGCTAGAGAAATATCTGACAATTTCTCTTGTCAGGAGCCAACTAACGTCTTAGCCCATGAGAGCACGCCACACAAAAGCACACAACATTATGGACAACATCACCATACAATACGCTATTTATCATGCGCCCCCCCACCAAAATACCACCACACGCACGCGCACCATTTTCACGACACCCCACACACACACACAGTTAGACATATAGTCAGCGACAAAAAGGGGGCCGGCGTAATTCTGCTGCATTAGGCCCCCCACCAACACACACACACCACACACAACACACACGCCCGCCACGACAACACAAAAACCCCCAACTCGAGGCACACCCACACACCCCCACCGACCCCCCACACTAAGTTGGTTCAACGATTTAAACGAACGCACACTCCATGTCCATACGGTCGACATCTCACTTCACACATGAATGTTGTATATAATGATAAACAATAATCATCACACATTCCCTGAGCCTTGCTTACACATACTATAACCCAAGAGCTATACGGGACACAAGCCAGTGTCAAAATCATTGTATAAATATCACACGAACAGGATCGCTTTTCCCGCGCCCCACCACCCCCCCTCCCGCACTGCTCTCCATTACACAAACATATCACACATCACATATTCTCCCGCGAGAACCCCCCCCCGCAACCACCACACACACACACACCCCCCACAATACACTCATCCACAGTGGTCATCCGACGGCCCGGAAAATTCCACAGCTCGCACCACTAAACACGCTACCACTTCCGAAAATTCACTGCCCCAGACATTATCATACCAAGCACGGAGGCTGCGCTGGTGGAGTCATACTGTACTTGTCCGTATCGTGAGGTTAGCCCGACGAGGCTGTGCGACTGATTGTCTCTACAGCCCGACACGCTTCCATACACAAAAAAACGTATCAGTCTGCAGATCTACGATGAAATAACTGCCTGTATTATCTCAAATAAAAGTTCAATCTACTTCCTAGTATTAGTATTAGTTTTATCACCTTCTTTTCTCTTTTTGACTTTGCCTTGTGTGACATATGAAACTTAACTCACAGTCACAGTTGTCCTGCCTTCTAACCGCGTAAGTAGAGTGTATCTCTTAAATCACCGGTAAATTCTGCTAATTCTGCACAAGCCATATCAACTAAAATTCCCACGATTGTTTTACGAGCGTCGCCATGTTTACACTAAGTGCATGCTCAACCAATTGAGACACGTGAAAAAACCCCCCTCCGAAACAGAAAAGACTCGCTAGGAAAAAAATACTACAGAAAAATAGGTAAATACGCCGCGCACGACCTTGCTCTGCAACGTTAATACAACACCAACAAGGATGTTTCACAAAAAATGTTTGAAAAAGCCATCTTGAAAAAACCTTAGATACACTCTTCTCCCACATCGTCAGGACATTCTGGACACAGTGTTGGTTACATGAGAACCGGCAGTTCGTTAATTTCCCCTTTTCCGTCCATTGAAGGATTTTAGTCTCAGGTTTCTTTCTCACGTGCGCAGAACGGACGGCGCGCGGCGATCGCCCGTTTGGGCATAAACTCCCCCTGTTTCAATGTTGCGCCCGTTTAAATTACCACTCGCCCCGAATATAAATTCCACTACATAAAAGTTGACCAAGCATGGAGAACCGATTGTCAAGAATTCCCAATTCGACCAGGACACCCACTCGTGTATGTTTTACCCCCGGGACACAAGCACAAGTACAACATCAACCTGTCCTGTAACCCAACACTAACCTTAGCACACGCTCGGCTATCTTATAATATTAAAAGAACCACCAAATACCGTCTATGGTGTGGTGGCGAATTTTAACGCATTAATTAGGGTGTACGGATAAAAAAACACGCCACACCACGGACCCCCGCTAGTTTGCCCCTCCCACCTGCCAAGACCGCCACTACTAGTAGTACTAGTTTTATCAAATAACAACTTGTCAGCGCTGCTAATGTCACCTTAAACAACTCGTAGAATACAATACCATTATTGTATATACAGGTACTTGCATGTGATGATAACAACTTGGTATGCCAAGTTATAGAGTTATGTGTGTGTATGTGAAAACGCTAAAAGCACTACAAATATTTTTGCAGCTGCACATATACATTAGTGCAGGATGTCTACTCGCCAATCATCCAGTAGAGATGCCACAGCAGGTGCAAAGGAACAGCCAGGGTTCACGGATGCCAAAGTCTGCACCGGTCAGCAGCAGCGTGAGAGGGCTGTAAAACCCAAGAGCCCAACGGAAAGCCAGCTGAACAACCACAGGAAGCCGACACCTCTAAACGGCGCGTGTCACACACAGAATGGAAGAGTGTGTGATGGTACCGACGATTACGTTGCGGCAGCTCTGTCTGTGGAATGCAAAGGTTGTGACATGCCCGTTAAAGGAGGTAATGAAGGCACACACCAGGAGTCCATTGCAAACATGCCGTCGAAGTTGGCACCACGTTTTTCGCGGTCCGAAAGCCAGTTGATTTTTGGCGAGAACTCGACAGTGCCAATCTCGTGTTGTAACAACAGTTTTCATCCACCTGTTGATTTGTCAACTGTATCGCAGGTGCCAGTTGAGGCATGCATATCTGTGCATCGTCCATTTAATTGTGCGCTCCCTTGGTCGGAACCAAGAGGTGCCTCCTTACCCAAAGATATCAAGATTTCTGGAAGCAACTGTATGGTATATCATCACCCCTGGCAGGTGGAGACGTGTGAAAATGGTGATCTTAATGCATGTAAACAGAAAGCGATGCCAAGCTGGTGTTCTGTGAGCAAAAACGACAAGCGCAAATGCGCAATGGCTAACGCCGCGTGCGAGACCGCACCGGAACTCGCACGCGGTGAGGACAGAAACGTGTCGCCATGCGACAACGCTCAGGAGCGGCGGAATCACTTGCCGACCCCGAATCAAAACCACGCCATCGGCGCCGATACGGATAACGTGTGGCGCGACAAGTGGATCCTGGAATGCATCGATCACATGAACGCATACCTGCTAAGTCAGCAACAGCAAGATGGCGCGCCATCGCGATGCGCTGACGCATGCGAGGCGCCCCCTGGCGGCGACGCCGCGCCGTGCAGCGACGGCATGAACGCCTACCTGCGCGAGAACCAGCACCTGATGGCAGAGGAGACGGACAGCGACAGCACGGCGTTCAGCAGCAACGACGAGGACGACATGCAGACGGCGGTGCCGGCGGCAGCGTCGTTGTCGCGTGGACGCAAGGCCTCGTCCGACCATTCGCCGGACTTCCTCGAGTTTGACTTCCAAGCCGTCGACGACGACGACTGCCTGGCAAGTTTCGACTATCCGCGCGGCGACGAGAGTCACGAGGACGCGCGAAACGGAGCCTCGTCGGACTCGGCGCTCGGCGCGCCAGACTGTGCTGAAATTTGTGATAATCATACACAACGTGGCGTCGACAACACGAGCGATGTGCACCGCCGGGAATGTCCCGCGCAGAAGTGCGTCGTCGGCGTCGAGCAGCGCCCCCACATCGACGTTGACCAGAACGACAATGACGATACGTGTGTCGTGGCGAACGTGGCGGGGCGCCGCACGGACAGCGCTCCGAGCTCCTGCGACGTGTGCACGACGTCGTGTTCCGTTGAGCAGCTCGACGACGATGATGACGACGACGATGACGACGACGACCTCTCCTACATGCAAGTGCCTTCCCTCTCGGACGCCTCCTCCCCGCTCCTCGCCCGCAGCCAGCTCGTGAAGAGCCAGAGCTATGAGAGCGTAAGCTCGCGCGGCAACGAGACGCGCGACGTGTTCCGCCGCGCCACCGCCGCCGAGCCGTGCCACCTCACCTACCGGCTGCGCCCCCCGATCAAGAGCAAGAGCTTCGATGAGGGGCTCCTGCTCGGCAACCTGATGCTGTCATCGCGGTGTGGGGACCTGCGGCCGCCGAGCAAGGAGCACATCTACGAGGAGCTGGACGCGTATCTGAAGGAGGATAAGGAGGAGGAGCCCAACGACTGCTTGTCGATGAGCCACTGTGCGAAGACGGTGATGCTGTGGAGCGAACAAGAGGCGTACAGCTTCCAGGTGAACCAGATTGGGAAATCTGCGTGCGGTGCCACGGCTGTGCTCAACGTACTGGTGAGTGAAATGAGACGATTTGTCGACATTACCCGTCAGTATGTAGACTATCTCATAATGTAGTGCTCTTGGAATATGCAGGATGCGAATTCACTTTACGGTCTTGAAATGAGAGAATCGTTATATCTTAAATTTCCTTGGATTCTCCAAATTAATCTGTCAATCCGGAAGTCCAATAAGTGTGTGGTGTAAAGTCAACTGTTCTGAACTAAAAATAGTAAAGATATTTTCTTATTTTTAGCTCGAAACTAATTAGACTCGGCCTATTAACCTCAGAAATCACTAGACAACAACCATGTGATATTCAGCAAAGATAGAATTGATGATGTAAACAGTTCAGTGATAGGAAATATCACTTGAGAGTAGATTATATGTAAAGGACAATTTATAATAATGTTGCAGCGTGCACTGGAGTTTTCAATTCCTACGGAGACAGTGGTCAGCAAAATTGTAACACGGCAGCGAGCAGAAACAGCACCGATACCTCAGTACCTGTTTTCGCGCTCTGTGGCAGGTAAGGTTGTAAGGGAATAGCAACAAGTTTACAACTCAAGTTCAGGGTTCGTAGCGGGTCTTCCAAAGTCTTATAAGTACTTATTTTGCCAAAAATAAAATAAGGGTCCTTATTAGTACTTATTTTTGGTGAAATCTTAGAAAAGTACTTAATAGCCTTTATTTTTTATATTATTGTTGTATATATATAATACGAAATAATTAAATCTGCTGTGCAATTGTGTATATAAATATTATTAGTGTACTTTAATAGTCGGTGATCTATCAGAAATCGCGTAAAAAAGTCTTATTTTGGCCTCCAGAAAGGGTCTTATAAGTCCTTATTTCAACATGTGCCTTACTACTATGAACCCTGAAGTTGGCTGTAAATGTTCTTAGTGTACAAAAAAAATTACTACACTCAAACACATTTGTAGTGTCAAATTATGTATGATTTTATAGATGAGGTATATTATCACATATAAAGGTTTCTGTGGAATTCTGAATACTTGTATATACTTGCACATTCTTTATATATTTGCTCACATTACCTTTAAAGTACAAGCAAAATGTGATACGTTTTTAATTATTTCCAATATAATATGCCTGTACATACTTACAGGAGCCACCCATGAAGCACTACTAGATGGTCTGAGTGAATTGACAGATGGCGCTGTATATGGCAGGTTTTTCCCAATGTTTCCGCCTCGGCGTTTCAACTTGACGCACTGGCTTGCCTACTGGATTGCACGAGGCAAGCACTTTTCTGCATAATTGTTCTCCTTCTAGATTTTGCTCATTACTGTTTACATTTGTGTTTTACTTACAAGTGTAATGAAGTCAGTTTTACCTTCACAGGAGTTGTACCGCTGTGTACGCTTAATCTACAAAAAGCCGTCACCCCCGGGCAACCCATACCTGATGCTTGGCACCATCAGATGGTGTATGGTGTGGGACCACAAGGTAAAAAAAAAACTTATTACATGTATACAAAAATCAACTTAAATTCAAATGACTAAGAACAAATATCAAACTCAATCACATCACATCAATAATATTGGTTTTATTATGATTTCTTATTACTACTTATTAAGTCAAAAATTTACTAGTTCATGGGGTCATGTTTAGCATTTTCTGAATAGTAAGTCATGCTAGCCATGCCAGCACCAACGGAAGAAACTGTAGTGATGAACCAAACTATTAGATTACTGATTACTATAGCAAAATTCTCTAATCACAGTTCACATTGTTGAATGGACTATTCTTCGAAGAGCTATCCTCATCATCGCCTATAAAAATATGTGTATTGACAGTGTATTGATAGTAGTAGTGGAACTAGTAGTGCGAGTAAGTGATTGCAAAGTTGCTCTGAGTCACGATGGGCTCGTACCGCTGGATGTGTTTCAGGCATCTACCTGACTAACCCGCTAGAGTGCGAGCAGGAATCGGTGCTGCAGAAACAACTATGCAGCGAGTCAACGCTACTCATTCGCAGTGAGGACGTCATCAAGCGATGGTGTGAGGACCTTAATCTCTGTCGGCTCATCACCCACCACGACGCCAGGTGGCGCGAGATGAACGTGTTAGGTAAGCACGCCACTTTGGAGATGTCGTTTAGTCTGTTGTGATTTCTGTCATTCCTTTCGTTCACTTCGTTCGTGCACAGGTTGTGTGTGAACTTAAAATAATCCAATAGTTGACAGAAAAGTCAGCAACATTTGGAAGTTTTCTAAATATCTAGACATATACTGTCCAGGGAAAAAATTCTCTTTTTTTCACGGGAGCTCTTTTTCAAAAGTCTGGGGAAAAACTAGCTCTCATCAAAAATTTTACGGGAGCTATTTTGAGCCTCACGGGAGCGATTTCGGAGGTTTGAAGAGCATATATCATATATACTCACTATATTATATTATATATACTCGCGTATATTGTATATATAGATATCACTCATATCGCCTGTGTATTTTTTTTTCCCGATACTGTTTATACAGTGATTCCAGCAACACTATGTGTTTACGTGCATGGATGTGTGCGTACGTTGATAACGATGGTGTAATTTAATCAAATGCCGTGAATGCAAACGTCGTACTTCTTTGCCTAATGCAGAACTATTGTGACATCCGCCTTCCTTCATCCATGTTCTGGTACAGTGTTGAGTTCTTGATCATGCAGGTCAGGTGGTGAATGCATTGCGAGAGACCGTGTCGGCCCATCTGCCAGGCCAAAGACGCCTTCTAACGACCCACGTGCAAATCCCGGCCGCCTACACGTCCGGTGTCACGTTGTTTACCCGACGAACCTCGACAGCATACCGTCTGCTAGAGAGCGCCACTGAACTGCCTTTGCTCGATGCAAGGAAGGATAAATGAGTGATTGCAGCCAACTAATTAGGAGGAGGTCATTCATCAATTAGGAGAAATAACCAGCAAAAGCCTGCTATTAGTGAAGTAGGTCAGTTCTAGTGTAGCAAACACGTTTTTCATGTTTTTCTCTTTAAAAATTTAGCAGGAACAGATAAAACTTTAACATAATTAAATTCGATAAGTGTGATGCTGGTAAAGACGAGCAAACTAGTACGTGCAAATTAGAGTGCGTTTTAATATAACAGGGGATATCAGGTATTCTAATTTTGTAGCTATTCTACTCATTTGCAATGCTAGTTCCATTTTATAGTGTCAAAATCCTCAAGTTTCCTTCATATGTACAAATTATCCGAGGCTATGTAGTCAGTAGAAAGCAATCTTGTGATAAAGCCAGCTCTAGCACTTGGCTGTATATAAGAAAAACTATAATTTTAATGAAGTTGAATCTTATTTATAAGAACACCATCCGTTACCAATTTCTTCCAGATGAAACGTGGGGTTATTGTTGTTACAAGGTTTGACTATACCTGTCTAGTGACACTGTAAACACTTTAGGTGGATTGGAGTTTTTTTTGCTGCTCTCCTTCGCAGTGCAGTAGGATCTAGACACAATAACGTATGTGGGATTTTCCTAGCCATACTGCTATTTATGTTATTGGCGCAACTTTGTATTCACTAACGTTTGTTAATGAGGGGTGCAAGTTATTCTACCATATTCTGTTATATACATATATTATATATATATATATATATATATATATATATTTATAGGAAAAGAAATTGGGGAAGAGTGAGAGATGCAATGGAAGTAAGCGTAAAGGGGGTATTGCATGCACTGTCTAAAAGGATACTAAATTATTGAAATTAGCAGATAAATGATGTTGCATTTGTTATATCAGCAAAGAATGCCCATGCATCATATCTGTATTAGCACAAATATATCACAACTAAAAATATACAAATTCAAGGTACAGATATTCTGCTCATTTCAAAAGCTCCTGTCTACCACAACTTGGTAGCCAGTTCAACATTTCTGCCTGGTGTGTTCTAACCATAGAAATAATATACTAGTTAGAGATCTATGGTTATTTTCCTTAACAACGTTTATCTTTGTTGCAAATAGTGGATTAAGATTTTAATTTGACAAATTGCAAACTACTATACTGGTTTGTTACCTTTTCTCGACCGAGCTGCTCTGGCAATATAGTTTCCACGGCAATGTAGATTACAGGTCACAATTGGTGTTATTGGTAGATGCAATTGTATGCAGGTTAAAGACGATTTTGACGAGGCATTTTCAGGCCAAGATGTCGATATTGTAAGAAAGGTAAACGTATGTTGTGAAGGAAGTTTTTAAAATGGACACAAAGAATGCAGATTTAGCTGGAATTAGCTTTATTAGATAGAAGCGTTTGAAATAAGCATTTGAAATGTTTAGTATTTTGCTTCAATGTACATTTTTAGTAGTGATATATTTTTAGTATTAGTATTACGCATGCACCTGTGCTTACATCTGAAGCCAAGTGCCATATTATGCTCAGCCATATCGTCTGGCACTGAACGATGTCACAAAGATTACAATATGTAAATGTCTCATTTTGTACATTAAATTTTGAGATATTTATGTGAGCATTGCAGATTATAGTCTAGAACTAGATGCGTGTATGATACGGTTTTACTTGTAAAAAAGTCATCTGGTAATTTTTACATTGTTTTATTTCATTTGTAATGTGCATGTTTATTTATGAATTTCAAAATTTGCACGAGGACAGTTCATAATCACCTCTATGAAGTCAGTGTCACTTAAAATGAAACATCAACCCACCATAATTATGAATATATAAGTTGCTTTATGTCAGTGTTACATTTTACTGTTATATAAAAGTTATGCATATTTCCGTCATTCGTTTACGCAATGCACAGTGCTCATTGCATTAACCTTGAATCTTATTATGTACATATATATAAAAAAAACTTTGAGAATTATTATTGAAATCCTAATTTCTAGAATATATCATAATATATTTTGATATGAAAGATATCAAAATTGCCAGACACATATACCTATTTTTGCGTTGCATCTGCCAAGTGCCACAATTTTGATGCTGTGCAGCCATGTCTCCATGTTGCTGTTCTAGAGTTTCAGCTCAGCTGTTGTATATACTGCAGGATGTGATAAAATGTATTTAGCCGAATAAATCTGTACATTGTATCGTAATACATATATATAAACGTTGAATTCTATATCCATTGAGCTATAAAGCTTCGTTAGGTGGAGGAGGCTACTGCATGTTATAGGTGTCACTCTCAATGACTATTCAGAATCGTTTAGCAGTCCTATTTTATGTTATTCATGTATACTTCTTCAAGTTCTTGTCTTCTTCTATAGAGTTGGTATCGGTTTATTACTGAATGATCGATGAACACAGGTAGAAAAGTAGCCAGCCGGTGGTCACTGCTTTCGATCTCCATCAATCCAGTTCAGACTCGTACTGATCAATGTCCACTAAGCATTCATCCTCCTCTCCGTCATCGCCGGTGAGGTACAGCGTCGCGTCGTGCAAACGTGTTTCTCCAACGTATTCCGCGCTACTGTCGGGTGTCGTTTTTGGCGGCAGCACAGATGCAACGATGGCCTCGACAGCTTCCACGGTGGTGCCCTCCTGCTCGAGCAACATTTCAACGTAGTGACGTGCCGCGAGCGAGTCGAGCGCCTTCGCGATGTCCGTTCGCCGGCTGGCGAGAATTTTCAAGATGGCGACGGACGTGATCATGCATTGCCGCGGGTGCAACATGACGTTGTGACTCGTGAGATTGAACGTTGCAACGAGGCATTTCAAGTCACCCATCACACTATATATGGTGATGCCTACAGGCAAACACTCCTTTATGCACCCGGAGAGCTTCTCGAAGACAATTTTTCGTCGCAGCGCCATATGTAAATGCGAGTCAACGGGTGGGAGCACTGAAAACTCTCCTGCATCGTGGTGTGGAAGACATGTAGGCATTGTGCATCTTTCACTGGGAAAGTCTGCAGCTTTGACTGAAGCCACGTCGGGCTGAATTTTTATTGAAGTCAAAGGAGCCTTGCTAAATTCTTCTTTCTCGGAGTGTGATGGAGCTTTCAACTGAACAGCCTCCTTTGGTGATTGTTCAAGTATTTTTGGATGACCTGCCACTGCAGTTTCGTTTTCAATCGGTGGAATTTCAATCTGCAGAGGGATTGATTGGTCACTTTTTACAACAAACTGGTGTGAGGATTCGGTCCACCACTCTTGCACATTGCGTTTTACCACTGCCGAAAGATTGTCTGCTTTTGGCTTTATGACATGTTTAGTAGCTCCCTTTGGTTGCAGCATAGGGGCATCTATCATTTTCACCTTTCTTTGCTGTGCTGTTTTCTGATGGGACTGCTGTACTGTCTGAGCTTTCAAGTCTTGGTTCTTCATGCCAGCTGCAGATTTCACAATATCTATGTCAGTCTGAGGCGAATCACCAGCTGCAGCTTCACCACAACTTAGAGAAGGCGCCTTAAGTCTACCATCTTCGGTACTCTGTCGTTTATCACCACCTGCTGCCCCATCTATGTTATCAGGCTGTAAACGAATCACATTGGAAACTTCGTTGAGCATAGCTGTAGCATTGTCAACAGTTGTTGTGTCACCATGACTTTGGCCTAAACAGTTTTTAGGTACGACTTCCATGGATGGCATTATGTCAACAGTTAGTATTTCACCCACAGACAAATTGTTATCATCAGTTTTTCCGACATTGGCACCAAACTGTAACTGCTTATTACTTTGCTGTCTATAACTCGTTTCCGACACGGGTGTCTTTGTAGATAGTTCATGTCTAGGACTTTTATTCTGCTCATTTGCGATAGGTTTTGAAGGAATGTGCTTCATCTCACCTGATATTGACGTTTGCTTGAACTCTTCACTAAGGTTGGGAATTGTCAGTGGCTTGGTTTCGTCGGAAGTATTGTTCCAGATTACATCTTCACCCTTAATAACAACATCCTTAGCTTTCTTAGTAATAGGTAGAAGCTCGATAGGAACATCAACAGGTTCCTTCCCCCTCACCCACACGGGAGTTGTAGGCAACTGCTTTCTGTAGAACATGGATGCCTTGTAGCAAGCATTGCTGCAGAACTTCCTTCGCTCCGTCAAGTCGTAGACTCGGTTCAACGTAGCCGAAATGTGATACCTCTGCTTGGGAATATCTCTAAGTTTGTCACAACATAACGGATATCCGCACTGCTTGGCGACCATGCGTTCATCCACCACATCGTCGTAGTGTCTCGGTTCAAGAAATCGAGCGCAATCCTTGAGGAAATCGTCGGTGATCGGGTCATCGAGTAGCCGCTCAATGATACGCTGAGCGTTACTCAAACTGTCCTGCTTCTGCTGCAGTGCAATTCTTATCTGCTCTCGTTTTGTCTCAATGGCTTTGGGATCTATCGTCTTCCTGTTATGCGACATGGCTGGACACAAGCCTTCTGCTCAGCAAGTGGCGACGTGACCACGAATACACTGATCTGTAAAATGCAAGTTATATATTATTACATGAGATTCAGGCCTTCTTTCACAGTGTTCAATGATATTTAAGTCATATTAGTATAAATTTATTTGAACAAACACGTACACTGGAACAGAACACACAAACTAGTTTCTATATCATCATATTATCTAGATTGTGCAGTTAAAATCAACCACAGCATAATTAATAACCAGGCACACCTATACTCCTCAACAGAAATCGCACACTTGCGCAAAAACTGTTAAACATGTCTTGGTGTATAAAAGATGTAAAATATAACATCATACTCATACGCATAGTCATAGCATTACCATTACTAATACTATTACTATTACAGTATTAGTATTACTATTACTCAGCAATACAAAGTCCGTGCATAGAAAAGAACCGCTCATAGGGTCTATGTCCCCCAGGGTACTGCCGGAACGTACCCTGGGTACGGTCCGGTATACCGGAACGTACCCTGGTCACTATTTGATATGGTTAGGGTTAGGATTAGGGTTAGGGAGTAGGCGTAGGCGACTCCCTAGACTCGTTAGTGGAGTAGGCGAGGTACGGTCCGGCATATTAGATAGTACCAGGGACCGTACCCAGGGTACGCTCCGGCAGTACCCCGCGGGACATAGTCTCAGCAAAAGAACCAGAAAAACACCAGAAACAAGTGCCGCATAGCGACAGCGCTCATCTAACGTCTACTGCGGTGACTCTGTGGTGGAGTGGTGGGATTCTAGTAAACCCTGTTAGTCCCAAATGTGTTCACATACACGCCGAAATAGTGGAATGCACAGAGATGGTATCAGGAACCTTCTCAAAAGAATGTTCGTTGGGATCGTTATGAAAGTTGCCACGAGATGGCGCATACGTTTAAGTGTCTTCAGATTAAAGATGGAAGCTCCCATCATTCGTAGTAGCAACAACTATTTGCAAGACAGATTAGGTAAGCACTCATCCATTTACCTACGCAAGCCTACAGGCTGCAAATAGAGAGCTGCCACCTGCAACAAATTAACGCAGGCAAAAACTGCCCCAACACATGCACTCATTGCACTGGCAGCAGCCACTGGCAGTGGCAGTGGCATGCGTTACATGTAACATACTGACACTACAGAATGCCATATAAATTATACGATTTAAGGAGCATAAACCTTCTTTAACCAAATTTAGCTTTTGAAATTTCACTGTGACATTGTAGCCTCATACATCCAGGCATGTATAGATTCTACTAGCAAACCCGGCAGTCAAATTCTTTCTAACAGACAGTCAACAAATCCATGTTTAACCCTCCTCTTGAGGGTCAAAAGGTTATCCGACACTTACTCTTCGCATGTCAGCAGAAGGGACATTTCATGGTCCTTTCAATAAAGCCATAAAAATGCTAGGTCACCGCTGAAACAAAAAAGTTTTCCAATCGCTCCGTCAGACCATGTCCTCAGAAAATGTCTAAAATCTGCCCTGTGCCCATTGACCTTTGACCTGTGACCTCCAATTTCGGCACAGTGATGGCTTTTCCTACCATGATGCTATACACCGACTATCACAAGCCTAGGTGGAGCCGTTTAGATTTGTGCCGCAATTCTGCATTTCCTCCCTATACCTTAAGTTAAGGAGTGAATGTTCCCCCTTCTTTTACACCTCTTGACCTTTGACCTTTGACCCCCAGCTTCGACATCCCAACTCGTTTTGACGATCCCCCCCGATGTGCCGAATATCGTGACCGTACGTCGAGCGGTTAAGATTTGTGCCCAACTGTTGACGCACGCACGGACGATCAAGCGATTCTACAAGCTGCATCTGACTATGTCAGATGAGCTAAAAACCAACATGGCAAAACCTCGGGAACAGCAAGAACAGTAAAACTCCCCAAAATGGGGAAACATGAAAAATACGCAAACGTCACACACCTCCGTGATGGATGTCGGAAGCTGAGAACAGAATATAATGTAGACTTACCAACACTGGCACCAGTCATAGAACCAGACAGTGAGTAGATTCATTCCGCGAGCAGCGCACACACACAACCAAAGAATCCCATACAGACTATGCTGCCCCCTATAATAACATTTTATCGAATTCCGAAAGAGGGCGCATTATCAAGCAGGATTTCTTGAATGTGTAAGGTAAAATCGTAAAACTTCAAAAATATTACAAAATATACCCAACTTGACTAGTAGTTTTATATTTTTTATGTACATGTATTGTCACAATAAACTAAGGCTTCCTTCATTTTCTATATAGCTCGTGGAAATGCTAAAATAGCAAGGATTATTATTAATTTGGCACGGTGACTCAGGGCCATGGGAACTGAAATCATTGACATTACTCATTAGCCTAATCAACACAACAAAGTTCGCACGCGTAATAAAAATCAAATTATTATTAGTATTACTATTAGTATTACTAGTATTAGTCTTAATGTTACGTAGTATTACAACACCAACTTGTTTGCTACCGATTATAATTAATATCATTCACTGCAGGGCTCTAATTAAGCGACGAGAAGGGCAAGGCAATTTTTTTAAGGCATGTGAGAAATCGCCTTGAATTTTCTCTAAAATGGAAGGGCACAGAGGCAATTTTAAAGGCAGTGGCTACGGGTACGGTAGCCGTATCTTAATGTCTCGAGGCTACAGGTACGGGAGTCCATTCGCTTTCATACTTAACGAGACAATGATGGCGGCGGTGGCGTCAGATTTCGAAATAACGCCTTGGGAAATAAATTCACGATTTGAGAGTTTAGATGAGCTAGAACCCTAACCCTAACCCTAAACCTAACCCTAACCATAACCCTAAACCTAACCCTAACCCTAATCCTAACCCTAACCCTAAACCTAACGCCAAAAAGGTGCTTCAACGACCGACGGCTACCGTACCTCTAGCCACTGCGAATTTTAAAAGGCACCAAGGCAACTCAAAATTTGAGAAGGGCACCAAGGCACTTTTGTAAAATAAAGGAAAACTCATAACAAATTAGTACATCAACATCGTCTTGCTTTTCATGTACAAAATAATATGCCCCCATGTAAGCTTACACCGTAACACCGACCCCTGTACCCTCCTCTGCTAATGGAAGTACAGTAACAAGAAATTTTACATGCCCGCTATCAGGAGTGAATAATTATCCGATGCTGTTATTATTCCCTGCGCGACTATCGGTTTTAAGCTCATCATTGCAACTACAGCACGCACGCACACGTGTTATGTTGATTCGACTAAAAACGAAACTACCTAGGGCAGTAGATTAAAGGAAACGGACGGCAATTACACAAAAGGGCAAGGCAGGTGACTGCCGTCGGTCGCGTTGGATTTTCAGGGGCAGTACGGCGATTGATAGGGGCACCGACGGCAATTGCCGTCGGTGCCGTTGGTTAATACGAGCCCTGATTCACTGTATTTTAATTCGACTGCAGTATCGTATTAGTAAGCCATTGATTGTTGCACCATCAGGCATCACTACAGAATGTCTTGTCTTGTCTGATAGTTAGGCTTAACCCTTGCATTCATGTTATAACTAGACCTGTTAGCAAGGAGTTATTTTTGAAAGTTGACAAACTTCATACTGGCATTACTACGCATGCGCGAGAACTATGCGAGATTGAAGGCAAACACATGTATGGTGATATTACACGACTAGCATTTCAGTTTCAACTGTTCAATGCATGTCATTTTGGGTTTTCCACATCCCCGTTGAGTAGCAGTTGCAGTATTGTTGTTTATTTTGTTTGTATCATGAAATTTACAGTGTTTATACAGAGTGAACTAGCTACATGCTGCGGGGCCTACCTCACTCGACTCCCGCCACGAACTTGAGTGTTATCTCTCTAGACGCCCGAGACGAACTCGAGTGCTACCTCTCTAAACGGCCGGGACGAACTTCACTGTTACCTCAGCCCACTCCCGGGACAAAACTCAACCGTGTCACTCCCGCCTCACACACCGAGTCAGCTGTTCGTTTCTCCCGCGCCACTCTCCGCCGCTAGAGGCGGTGGCTAACCAACCCAACATGGCTGCCCCCATCTAGGGACTCGACTATCCACAACAACAATTGGTGAGCAGGCAAAACACCACGAAAACGCACACTAATAGACACCAGACATCACAAATAATTATACAATCACAAATATGGAACATTAACCCATACCCTGCCCATGGTTCCCAGTGAGCTACCTCACAATTACCTAGCTGGGAACCATGGTGACCGGTGCCACCGCCACACAGCGAACGAACGTTCAAATTATAATATGAAAGTTGGTATGGTATGACATAAAGTTTATTGTAATTACATAACAAGTAAAATCGTATAAGTAATTATTTTCTTAGAGACATAATTATGTAGTTGTTCAACATTTTTCATGGATGTAGATGTTTTTTTCAATCGATGGGGATCAGGCTATGTATGTAATGGCTATGGCTATTCCCAGTTATTCTCAAAGATGTTACTTGCCCTTCTGAGACCAGTCTGCAACCTTGCCAGGCATGTAGCCACATGGCTACATGGGCACACAACACTACATGTTTTTGCATTGTTTCCTCCTGGGGTCATTATAGTTGTAGAACTGTAGATAATGTGACCAACCTATCAGTTCTATCAGTCCTATCAGTTCTTCAGAACCTCTATGTACAGTGGTTCCTCAGTTAAGAAAACTATTGTTGAAAAATAATTGTTATAGGAAATACATACATGTATGTATTTGCCATTCATTCAAAGGTCATAGGAAATTCTATTATTTAGGAGAATATATTCAAGAATGTAGCTCTTTCCACATGCTTTGCAGGACAAGCACTAAATAAAATTTATCAAGTCATCTGAATTCCTATTGCTTATTAATGGGTGTAGCTGATTACCTAAGGTGCACTAAATTTATGAGCCCCCTAATTGACTAAAATTGGCAACAGCATGATACTATATAATTTACAGTTCAAAAATGTAGTATTAATAGGAAACAAAGAGGGCAGGGTTACGGGAGAATATTATAAATAGAAATTTTGTTAGTCACGTTGATATTAACCATGAGACCAAAAAGTAAGACAAATGTTGAATTTACATGAAATATCGAATGTGCTCTCAATGGTATAGTGGCTCATGTAGAATGTTTAGAGGTCATTACACACAGTTTAATCTGTGTGGTGTAAATATTATATGTCATCTATGTCATGTTTCATGGGGATAATGACACAATAGAGATTGTTGTGTTTCATAGTAAATTAAAATGCAGTTTAGGTTCCCATATCATCTCTGCTTTTATCAACTGTTATCTACACTGATCTCTGGTCTTATTGCCTGCAGCTATGGAAAGGATTCTTTACTTTACGCATTGCTAGGTTGCGATATTTATCTAGATCAGAATTTGTATTTCATTGGCTTTAATATTTATCAATAATATACCATAATGTCTGTCAGTGATATTCTCATAAATCTTTCGTGTCTTCTAAGGGATAAACTTTGTAGTATTGATAAATTTAGCATAGTATTTTTGATGTTGCTATATTTTTAATAGCCTTAATGAGTAAAACCTCCATGCAGAGTCTTAGTGTGGGATGTCATGTTTGAATAGCTACTATTCTAAAGTCACGACATCTACCCTGGAGGATGCATCTGCGCACTGACTCATGCACGCACACAGTGACACATGCGCGCATGCCCCACCCACGCACGCACACATCTTTCCACCATCACCTTATACTGTCTGAAATTTGTCATGTAAATTCATGCAGTAACTTTGTAAAATTCTGAATGCGGACTCTTTTAGTATACCATAATCGATGTCTGACTGTGTGGAAATCTACGGGGTGGCACCGTAGAGAGAAGATTACTCAGATAATATAATTTTTTCTACACTTGCTCTTTCCTCACACATCATCTTAAAACTATTAGGTGGTTAAAGTAGCGCCTGTACATTGTGATTCCGGCGTTGGGAAAACATGAGAGTGTGTAGGTGGTGGTCAATTTTGCTCTGGATTAGTTAAGTTTGTGCTTTTGGCTGTATCATGAGCCCAGAGCTTGCACACACTATGTAACCAGCAACGCATCTGGTAAGCGCGCCACTGCAAATGTTGTGATGTGACTATATTTAGCCGTGCCAGTCTGTATGTACTGTTGTTGAACCCTGGGTGGGTTTTCCAGCTGTCTGAGAGTATGCCTTGGCATGTCTGCAAGTATAGGCATGTTAAATGTCTGCTAACGTCTCTCTGTGTACGTATATGAGTACATGTCTGTGATTATCCATGTGTGTGTCTGTGAGTATCATATGTATGTCACATGTCTACTAGTATCAGAAGTAGATAATAGGGAACCTAGTATTATCTACTTCTGCTAGTATCCATGTGTGTGTGTATTAGTATGTATGTCACATGTCTGTGGTTATCCTGTGTGTGTATGTGTGAGTATGTATGGCACATGTCTGTGGTTATCCTGTGTGTGTGTGTGCCTGTAAGAATGTATGTCACATGTCTGTGGTTATCCTGTGTGTGTGTCTGTGAGTATGTATGTCACATGTCTGCTAGTATCCTTGTGCGTGCGTGCGTGTATGCGTGTGTACAGGAGTGGTTGAAGGTTTAATAAAAAATTTGGCATATATATTATAGATATATATATATATATATATTCTTTTAGTATAGATCATGCATACACATAAAGACGTGATATTTTTACTGATGTTTTAATCAATTAACTGATTACAACCATATAATGTTTCTGAGCAAATGCGTTTATTTCTTGCACTGTGCTTGGGCCAAAACAAAATATAGGTGTGGTTACCGTTTCATGCCGAAAAAAAATAGGGTAGGTAGGTAGGGAAAACATTTTATTTTAATGAAACATTTTATTTACGAACCATGTCCGAAGGATGTGCGTTGTGCCTTTTGAAGCAGGAACTGTCCAATTCATTTTTTTTTTTCTTTTTTTTTTTACTTTAAAGAAAATTGACAATAAAATGTTTAGGGTCGCTGGGAATAAATAGGGTCGGTCGGGAAACGGTAACCACACCTATATTTTGTTTTGGCCTTAGGTGTTCTATGTGCTCTGAATTTAAGTGGGTAGGTTCTTGGAGTTTAAATCCCAAATGACTAGTTATGGTCGTATTGAATACGAAATGGTAGTAGGGCACTGGCATGTTGCTCCATGGTGGGTTGTCAAATCTGATGGTTTCATGCTACAATTCAGACTACGGAATTTTGGGTTTTGGGACATGATTTATACATAAACCTTATATGTACCTGATATTCTCATCCACGGAATACTGTTAGTGTATACATGGTGTACGCGTTTTATAATTAGTTATATGATTTTTTGTGTTTGTTGTTCTTTTCCATGTTTATAGAAAATGTGTTTAAATGTTGGTAAGATAATACATAATTGCACATATGTTACTGAAGCACTCTACGACATTCCAATGTTTCTGAATGAACTAGTAAGAGTTTTTCTTGGCAGGTGGTGCATCCCTGGCAGTCTGCTTTAATCTGATCTAAACACCATCATAGCTAGTTGGTTTATTATTTTCATTATTGTTTTTAATGGATTTTATAGAATGGGAAGGCGTGATTATATTCTTAACCCCAAGCTCTTACACACGTTGTGGTAGTGACTGACTGTACAAGGAGGTAGCTAGTTATTGAACTCTAGCTGGCCTTTCTGTAAGGAACTACAGTAAGTGCTATGGCCACAAAAGTTAAGCCATGCATGGGCAGAGATGTGACATGCATTTGTAATATCACTGACGTTGCAAAGATCTCGTTCGAAATGTTTCCCAGCTAGCCCAGGTGTAAACATTCACTTGGTTGGTATTGAAATAGATGTCCTCTACTGTTTCAGGGGTGCGAGTTCACTCCCTGTTGGTTTCCTGTTACTGTGAAGCGAAACTGACAACATAGCCGTCTTCTGCTGCCGACATGTTCCCATAGCAACGAGGTGTCAGTTTGAACAAAGCCTCTAAGCACCCTGGTTCATTCAAGGTAAACACAGCAGCACTCTTCTATCTTTTACGTAACCATTGGCAGATTTTTGTGAATATGTTTAGTGTTTGTTAATCTACTCATTTTATTACTTCCCATTTAGCTAGACGTTAGTGTCAGACCATTTTCACTAAATGATTCATTATACTATCACAGGCTGCCTGGCACACGTACCATCTATCACCGTTAGTGTGTAAAACCTGCTATCAAAGCCTCCCTGCCACATGTAATGTAACTGTTTGTGTGATATAGATATATGTCTTTCTGGCCTAAATGTCATCGCTGTCCTCTGTTTAATGCATCATCATCGTCTGTGGGACCCATATACCATCGCCATCTCCCTGGCACACTTGTATTATCAATGTCTGTCGACCACATATGCTATTATTGTCTCTCTGTTACGCGCGTCATCATTGTTTGTGTAGACCACAAACCATCACTGTCTCCCTGGCACACGTGGTATCAATATCTGTGGACCACACGTGCTGTCATTGTCTCTCTGTTAAATGCATTGACACCATCATTATCTCTATAGCCCACATACCATCACAGGGTTCTCCAAGAGCACTTATAGCCTGGCGGCCCGCCAGGCTATCGTCGAGCCCCGCCATCCTAAAATGCACCTGCCACTCTAAATATCATAGCCGCCATGCTAAAATTAGCTAAAAAATGCTAAAACTAGGACCGTAAAGGCAGCCCTGCCATGCTATAATGAAAAATCTTGGAGAACCCTGCATCACTGTCTCCCTGGCACAAGTGTCATTGCTGTGTGCCAAACATCCTATCATTGTCTTTCTGGTTCACACGTCGTCGTTCTGCATAGCCCACGTATCATCATTGTCTCTCTGATAACTGTGCCATCAGTCTATGCCACACACATCTTTCATCATTGTCTCCCATGCGTGCACGTGTCATCGTCTTTGTGTTACACGTACCATCCCAGTTTCCCTGGCACACGTGCCATCACTGTCGCAGATGGGGTCGTTGTCGTATCAGGTACTAAAGATATGTACCCGAGGTAGTTTTAGGTTGTTTAGTATTATGTTTAAATATTTTTACATGAGGTATGTTTAGGGTTAGGGTCAGGGTTAGGGTACACTTCTGTAGTACAAGTCTGGTATACTTTGTGTATACATATATGTACCTCGGGTACATATCTGTAGTACCTGATACGACAACGACCCCTTGAGCATCACTGTCTGCCTGAGACGTGTACACCACTATTAAGCTTTACATACATACATGCCCTTGCTAGCACACATCCCTACAAGCCAGCCCTTCATACCAGCACCTGTGAAAATGATAATGCACTCATAGTCGGCAATGTGCGATCGCATTTTTGCTCTGTCCGCAGATTCGTCACCGACAGACTCGCTCATCATGGAGAACCTTCGCAAGCACCTTTCGTTCGGCGGGTCCAACTTTTATAAGGTGTCCAAGTCGGTGCCGCCGGTGACGGGGGTGACGGCCGGCGCCCCGCCGGTGGCGGCGGAGGGCCTCGCGCAGTTCCACGCGGTCGTGGCACCCTCCATGCAGGCGGATGTGCAGGAGATCGCCGTCAGCGCGGGCAGCTTTGTCGACGAGCTGAATGCACTCTGTGGAGCTGGCTCCCAGCTTGTGCTGAAGCTCGCCGCCACGCTCAAGCTGTCGCCCTACTCAGAAGCTGCAGGTGGGCCGTGTGGAGGTGTCTGTTGGTGGTGGTGGTGGTGGTGGTCCCGTGCATTGTTGTTGTTGTGCACCTATGTGGAGTGTAGTGTGTGCGTGTGTGCGTGTGTGCGTGTGTGTGTGTGTGCGTGTGTGTGTGTGCGTGTGTGCATGTGTGCATGTGTGAGAGCGAGAGTGCGTGCGTGAGTGCGTGTGTGTGTGTGTGTGTGGTTGTGTGCGTGCGTGCGTGTGTGTGTGGGCGTGTGCGTGTGCGTCTGTGTGTGTGTGCATGTGTGAGAGCGAGAGTGCATGCGTGAGTGTGTGTGTGTGTGTGTGTGTGTGTGTGTGCGTGTGCGTGTGCGTGTGCGTGTGCGTGTGCGTGTGCGCGTGTGTGAGAGAGAGTGCGTGCGCGTATGTGTGAGAGAGAGTGCGTGCGTGCGTTTGTGTGTGCATGCGTGGATACATTTTAATTTATCATTTTTGAGATCAATGCAAGTTTATTGTGAAATCTTTGGTAGTGGGGTGGGGGGTCTTTAAATATAGTATAGTATTCAGGGTTTGAGATTACCGAATCGTAGTCGAGTCCTTGGTCAAATACTGAGTGTTTTAGTCTTGGTCTCCATACTTTGCATCAGCGCACATGGGTGTGTGTGACTCACTCAAAATCATAGTGTTCACACATGGATGACGGGTGAAGTATTTGCTACTGTTTTTCTCTCCACTTGGGTGCGTTGCTAAAATTAGCCTATGCGCGCCGCTTAAGGTGTACGCAGTCTGTGCTTGTCTAAAGACAGTGGTTGTAGCTCAGCCAAGTAGTATCCACAGTGAAATCGTGAAAATAGTTTCAGTTTGACATTGTTGCTATTACTGTCTGTAGCATAATAAAATACAGTTCTTATTTCGTTTAGTTTATTTTTGGTTCATTCTTCGGGAATTTTTTATTCCTAAAATCTTCAAAGTCGTACAGCCAGAAGCTGGGGGCAAAGCCCGCTAAAGCTGATCATCATAATAACCATAATGATGACCATCAGATCAGATCACCACTTTACCAGCCACCAGCACCCCCACCACACACCAGGATTCCCAGCTAACACCTCACTGCCATCACATTGACATAGGCTTTGATGTAGACTGACAAGCGACCATGGAAGGTGGTGGGGGCAAGGGGGTGGAGTTCAGGGATTTGTACAATTTTTGATTCTCATGATCGCCATGTATGGCCATGTGGCCGAGACGGCCATGTGGAAGATAGGTCTGCGCCCAATTTATTGTGTCTGTACCTAACATGTTTGACCCTCATTAAATAAAGTTTTTACTTACTTACTTACTATGGTTGGGTGCGTGCTTGCAAGCGAGCGTGCATGCATTCGGGCATGTGTGGGTGCAATAACAGCATGCTTGCAAGCAAGCAAGCGAGCATGTGTGCGAGCATGCATGTGTGTGTGCGTGTGTGCGTGTGTGTGTGCGTGCGTGCATGTAAGTAAATGCTATACGTTGCTCTCTCTGTATTTACAGGACAGCTTCATCATGTGTGTGTGTGAGTCAGTACATGCTATACGTTTCTCTCTCTCTGTATTTACAGGACAGCTTCAGCATGCTCTGACGCAGCTCTGTCAAGCGGTGAGCGGCTCCGGCAGCCACTTCAGGTCAGAGCTGGAGAGCAGCCTGCGCACGCTGCGCGGTAAACTGAAGTCGCCCATGCCAGAAGATGAGCGGTCGCCAGAAAATCTCAAGGTACTGTTCGTTGGGATGTCCTGCTTTCTCACATACTGGCAGGGGTGAAGTCGATGAATCGCATGTCACATCGACTGTCATTTGCTTTTAATTGATCGTTGTTGCTGTCTGGGTGGGTGTAGCAACGATTGTTTTGTTATGTATTGTAGCAGTTCTTCATCAATGTATATCATAGGTCATATGGTTCAGATCTGTGTCATAGTAGCATTTCCTCAGTTGGGTAATCAAGCCAGATTGTTTAGATCCAGATCGTAGTTATTGTTCAACAGTATTGATGCACTTTTGTAGTTATACGTCGATGCAGTTCTTCAGTTCTGCTGTTTCGTTTGGTTGCACTTGTGTGGTTATGAATCGATGAGATACGTACTACTATGTCAAATAGTAGTTCGCACATTCGTATGTCGCGTGACTGGCGAGGTGTGTATGTCTTTCAGGGTATTAGCCAGGGATGAGTATTGTGGGAGTGCAGAAAAAATATTTGGGAGTGCAATTTTTTTGTATGTGTGTCTTTAGATCAATATTTTAGGCCGTGCTACACATTTGTGGCCGTGCAGTTTCAAAACTGACTGTGCAAATTACGGCTGCACGGCTCGCTGGCTAATACGTTGGTGTCTTTGTTTGCAGCTCATCGCTGGGTGCCTCGTCTCCTTCATCCAGCTGCAGTGTCAGCTGTGTGCATCCGCCCAGGAGGTGCTCGAGCGATTCTCGCGCTGCACGACCCCCGGCGACCTTGCGTCGAGCCCGACGCGCACGCCGGACCCGGCGCCCCGCAACCCTGCCCACGCGTCTATGCCTAGTCTGGCCGGCCAGGCTGAGCAGATGGTGCAGGGCCGGCCGCCCTCCGGCAAGTCTCGCGACTCCCTCCAGAGGGCGGCGTCGACGCAGTCGCTGCCCGCGGGCGACGACGCCGCGCAGAAGAAGCGCCACCTGAAGCTGGTGGGGAAGGTCAGCGGGGGAGGGGGAGGAGGTCAGTACCACGCACCGTCACCGGAGTACGCCGGGGATGCGGCCACGCCGGAGGCGGAAGCCGAGCAGAAACGGGAAGGGAGGGAGACTCGGCAGGGAAACAACAGGGTGCATCCCGATGTTACGCCGGGTGAGTAAGCGAGTCTATCCGTGGCCGGTGTTTGCTCACTTGTATTCAATAATGTGCTTGAATTAGGGGAGGTGCATTGGATTACATACTTCTTTTGGGCGATAAATTTTCTGACGAAGTTCATCGCCTGTTTGCGAATTCAATGGAGAAATGTGATTCGAGTTGTGCAATTTGACTTTTTAAACGTTTGTTCTGGAACGCTACACAATACAGGGTATTACTGTACGAACGTTTGTTTTTTTACGTGTGTGTTTTCTTTACTTGTACTGTATGCAGTCAGAAAGGCAATCGGCTAGATATTACCAAGAGCTAATAAACACCTAGAGTGTACAACGGAAAAACGGGAAAATAGTGCTATTTCACGGCAATATTATTCTACTTTGCCTGCGAGTCTAGAATAATTTTATGGTATTTCATTAAGCAGAATTCTTTGCTCTCTAAAACAAGACCAACTGCTTGTCAATACGATACTCCTAGCTAAAAATGGATCGTAAACCTCCCCTCCCACAGGCCTCACGGTGCCTCGCATCCACAATATTCACTATCCTTCTCGCCTTTTGCGGGTCTGGCTATCGTTTTTCGTCGCCGCTTGGAGAGCTGATAATTGATGTCACATGCCCAAATTTGGTACTCTTACTACACCATATAGTAACTGAGCTGCGTTGTAGAGACTTAATTTAGAAAACATTTCCGGCTCTATCATGACGGGCATTGGCCGCGCTAAGAAAGATAATGGGAGATAAGGGCATAGGCGATGCCCCCGAAAGTCACCGATGATAACCGAACCGCCGTTCATTCATAAAGTTATCGCGGAAAAAAAAGAACTCTCACGAAGCGACCTTCCTAACCCGCAAAAGGCGAGAAGGATAGTGAATATTGTGGATGCGAGGCGCCGTGAGGACTGTGGGAGAGGAAGTTTACGAGCCAATATCTCAGCCTAGGAGTATCGTATTGACAAGCAGCTGGTCTTGTTTTAGAGAGCAAAGAATTCTGCTTAATGCAATACCATAAAGTGATTCTAGACTCGCAGGCAAAGTAGAATAATATTGACGTCAAATAGCATTATTTTCCCGTTGTTCCCGTTGTACACTCGGTACACTAGGTGTTTATTAGATCTTGATATTACTCATGCTGGTTGAATGCACTTTTATTTGCATAATTCTTTATCCTGTTTACCGTATTGATCATCTAGACGTTTAGTTTTGTATACAGGTTTCACGTGCCGTAAACGTCAGTGTTAAAAATCCTGATTTTAGTGTAAAACAATATATAGTAAAGTGTTAGGGCTATAGATTTCAATATGAGTATTTATAGTGCTATAATTGTATCCCCCGCGACGAAGTCGGCGGGGATACTATGGTTTTGTGTTTGTCCAGCCGCCGCCGCCGCAGACACTTTCTCTTCTGCTCTATAACTCGACCCCTAATTGACCTAGCGTGACCAAACATGGTCTACTTACACATCTTGGGGAGAAGGTGCGCAGCGTACCAAAACCACGTCACTACGACCTTTATTTGACCTTTACCTTGACCTTGATCATATTTCTTTTCTGCTCTATAACTCGGCCCCTAATTGACCTAGTGCTACCAAACTTGGTATACTTACACATCTTGGGGAGATGGTGCACAGCGTACCAAAACTAGGTCACTGCGACCTTTATTTGACCTTTACCTTGACCTTGATCATATTTCTTTTCTGCTCTATAACTCGGCCCCTAATTGACCTAGTGCTACCAAACTTGGTATACTTACACATGTTGGGGAGAAGGTGTGCAGCGTACCAAAACCAGGTTACTACGACCTTTATTTGACCTTTGCCTTGACCTTGAGCATATTTCCCTTCCGCTCTATAACTCGGCCCCTAATTGACCTAGCGCTACCAAACTTGGTATACTTACACATCTTGAGGAGAATATGTGTTGCGTACCAAAACCACGTCACTGCGGATTTTATTTGACTTTGACCTTGACCTTGATCATATTTCCCTGCTGCTCTATAACTCGGCCCCTAATTGACCTAGCGCGACCAAACTTGGTATACTTACACATCTTGGGGAGAAGGTGTGTCACGTACCGAAACCAGGTCACTGCAACCTTTATTTGACATTGACCTTGACCTTCATCATATTTCCCTTCTGCGCGTACCAAAACCCCTAAGGCCTAAGGCAACCAATTTTAACATACTTGCACATCTCAGGCAGATGAGTTGTGTAACAAACCTTTGCCTTTGTGACTTATTTCACTTTACCTACCTTCTACGTCCTTACAGAGATATTTCATTCATACTAGATTACGGGGGATACATGTAGTTGGCGACAACTGCCCTTTCTAGTTTTTTATCGAACAAAATGAGGTAGAGGATAAACATATATTTCTTCACCCACTGTGCAACTAATATGAATTATAGTAGAATAACTGGTGGGCCTAGATCTTCATTAGGTAATTTTGCTATTGCATATTAATTAACAGAATAATGCCGATGTTTATAAAGAGTTGTCCTGTCTAACTGTCATGCCTGTTCTGTCATGCCAAAAAATTACACCTGTATGTTTATTTTGGTAGTGATTTTTGCCAATGTGCTAAGGCTCTGTACAGTTCATCATCTTATCGACGCATGTTCTCTTATCCAGCTGGTGATGAGATCCAGGATGTGATTGACTTTCTCTCTGGTTGCCGTGGGCAACAGCCTCAGTACCCACAGTACTTAGGATGTCAGATGGAGAATATACCAGAGCATGAGCTGCAGAGTTCGGTAAATAAATATTAATATATATATAATATGTATGTATAAAGTTAAATCTGTGTATAACAGCCACTCATTAGGGAGCGCAATGAATGGTCTATATGAACAGGTGGCTCTTCTATACAGGTTGACAGCTGTTTTAAATTTTTGACGTGTAAGACATTTGTCATGATGCATATTATTGCTTTGTTTCCTACTTTATGATTAAGTATTCCACTCTAAGGGAGAGAATGGAGAGGTGAAGGCAGGGGAAGATGGTGAAGAAGGAGAGGGGAGGTTGTATATAGAGGGTGAAAGTAGAAGAGGTCGGGGAAACGTTCAGAATAAAATAGGGAGAGATATGCTAGGAAGGAGAAGGAGAGGGTCAAGACGCCAGAGAGGGGAAGCTGGAGGGAGGCTGGAATGAGTGGGGAAGAAAGGGACAAGTTGGCTGATAATCTGGTAAAAGGTAAGGAAGATGCTGAGAAATCGTATGGAAAAGAGAAGGAGAGGAGATAAGTATGGTGGACGAGGAGGGAGTGAGAGGTGGAGGGAGATAAGAATAGAGAAGGTAGTGGTGAATGAGAAGAGAAAGGGTAGGAAGAAGCTGGAGGAGAAAGGAGAAGGTGAGGGTTGCCTACACACTCCACTCTTAGTAGGATCGAATTGGTATCAGTTAACACAGGTTTGACATTGCTACGCAACTGAATTAATTGTATCAAAACTAGATGAGACTAGAAAACGAATAATAAATAGGACTAGAATGCACATACCAGTTTATAGTTATGCCAAATATTTCGCATAATGTGACTGATTTTTCGAGATTCGTGGCATGCAGCTTAATTAGTGCGAAGTAACGATGCATGAATCGTCGGCAGGACGGCTTTCGGCCGAGCGAGATCATGCTCAGACATCGCACGCTGGCGACGTCGTACAGTAACAGGAGTGCTGAGATGAGGAAGCGAGAGCTGGGAGTTGCCACGAAGCCGCCGGATCCCGGCCGGCAGACGTGGCCACGCATGCCGCAGCGTGACGACCCCTACGGGGCGTACGGAGGCGGCGGCGGCGGCGAGAGCTCGAACGAACAGGTGAGCATCCGACATGCAGTCGAGGGTCGCTCGCGAGTTTCGTGTGTATCGGATATTTAGTTGATTATATTAGTGCCGTCATGATTTAACTAAATAAATTGAAGTCAACTTGAATAAATTCAATTTTAAGAAGGTCACGCACACATTTACATGCACCTGCTTTTGTTGCCGTGTAAGCATCTGATGAGTGCAGTCGAGAGTTCGCTCGCGAGATTCCTGTGTATTGGATATTTAGTTGATTATTATTAGTGCCGCCATGATTTAACTAAATAAATTGAATTCAATTTTAAGAAGGTCTCAAACGTTTACATGCACCTGCTTTTGTTTCCGTGTGGGATGAGCAAATGCTGAGTGAATGTTCTGTGTGTTTTTTACAGATGGAGTTTCAGCAGTACATGAAATCGGTCCAGCACATGACACTGACCAGCGGTCATCCATACGGCAACCAATTCTACCAGTCACTCTTCCAGTGGCCCCACCCTGGGAGTCTCGACCCTCAGAAGATATGGACGCCACAACCAAAGTATGTTTTTTGCAATCCTACTAGTGCAACTACATGGTCATCTGCTGACATGGTGGAAGCTCAAAGCTTTCTCTAACTGTGCTGTAGTCGGTTTGGCTCGCCACTGTTGTTAAATAAGTTGCATTTCAAACCGTTGCAATAAGTTGCATTGCTAAACATTTAAATCACTTTGTAAATACAATTAGCAAGCTTGTATATAACAGTTAGTCAAGGGACACACCAAAAGTGAGCTTTTTTGGTTGGCATCATACTATTTTTGTATGCACTTGTCTCTTTTGTATCCTGCTTTTTGATAGGGAGTTCCAACCCGTTTTGATAATCTCATCACATTTCATGTTTCATCAAATTAATATAATTTCACAAGGTTAATGATAGTAATTTGTGAATGCTTCAGTGGGGTCAGACTAAGTTACAGTTGCATGGGGGTGTTGGCTTGCCGTTGCAGTAGCCAGCACTGGGCAGGAAGCTTGGCTGGCAGCGGGCAGGAGAAGGACAAAGACAGTGGCAGCTCGAGTGACGAGACGTCATCGTACAACGGCCATGACGGTGACGTGTTCGCGGTGGCTGGAATCCTGGCTGGACCAGACCTACTGGCTGCTGGCAGTCATAGAAGGTGCGGCCTGCGTGTCTACCGGTAGATTCGTAGCGGTCAGACAAACGACGAATGGCGCAGAATGCAATTAGAATTCGTGTAAAAAACCACCTAATTGAGTAGTTTGGCATGGCAATTATCAATTACCCATTCTCTTTTACAAGTAGACGTCACAGCAGCAGCGATGGAATCGGTGAGGGGCCTGTGGAGTTGGTGAGACGAAAGAGCGTCGACGACTTGAGAATGGTAAGATCTTTGTACACTTGTACCCTGCTAAGAGTAAGACTCGAAGCAATAAATGTAAATTGTACATTCTTCACAAGAATGAACGCAATGAACTAGTAGATAGTTCGTATGTCTCTATGAATCTTGATCGAATCGTTGACCTGTGGCTCTGTTGTCTAGCGGAGTTATGAGAATGAATTATTGTAAGCTGCATGACAGATCTGTTTTGTTGCAGGAAGCCAAGTCGACTAACACGTGGCCCCCACAGCAAGTATGGGGAAAGACTGGAGTCACAGCAAGTCCTGGCTTGATGCCAGGTGCCGTAGACGCCAGTGGCTCCACACCGTGGCAACAGAACGAACTACCACAGGGTGGCTTTACTTATTTGCCGACTTCATTTGGCCAGCTAACCTGATCGTCTTAGGATGCAGTTTTCTTTGCTATCCTTTGCTATCCTGCGCCTATATTTTGCACGGGACTGCTATGCCTTACTTGCCACCATATCTCTGCACCATTTTTTTACATCGTAATTTTACTTGTGTGCTAAAGATGAACACGTAGACTGTGTGGGTATGCAACATACCCATGTTGATCCTCACGTTATATGCCTTGAATAATCTCTTATCTATTCTGTGTGTGTTTGCGTGTAGGTACGCGTTAACGAAAATGAATCGTTGTCCCCCACTCCACGTGTGTTGGTTCTGTGCGTAGAACCGTACGCATGCAATTCGGTGTCGTAATCGCTATAGAGTGGTCACAGTCGCTGTACTGTGATCACGTGATGAGAATATATATCACGGTTCCCCGTGTAGTAGTAGACCCACCGCTGGCGGCGCAGTTTCTCCTCTGGTGAGTCATAGCTCGGTCTGGCTTAGTTAATACCTGATCGACGTAGGTGTAGTGAGTAGTTTAGGGAGCTTACGTTACATCGTATTCTCTCAACGTGCATTGGGCTGAATAATTTTTGGCATCAATTTTTTTATGGCAGAGAGTACATGGGGAACTGTGAGTGAATGTTTTTTGTGAATATCGGGGTCTGATTATAGGGTAACCTATTCATTTCGTTGGTCGATGTGGTGAAACAGGCCAATCTAAAGCATCCACCTAACCCTGCACCCTTGTGTTTGCCATCCCGCGGATGTTGTTTTCATTATGAGAATTTGCGTGATCACATGCAGACGAGCTGACACGATGACGTATTCGTAGTTTGTGGGACTCGCTGTGTGTATGACAGGTCGGTCTATGAGACTGGCTGTAACCTTGAGAGTACGAGCTGTGCTCAGACTCGTGCAAGTTCTTGTTTGGGTGGGTGTATCGTTAAATATATACTGACTGATTTTAGTACTAGCGTTAAAAGGTTGTGCGTAGCATTACGATTGTATTCACCCGGCTGTGTTATGGCAATATATATTAGAGTCTCTCTGAGTGCCAAGGTGAAGTCCAGTTTGAGGTTGAAAACAGGAAGACATAAGTGACGTGTCTAGACGATTGTAAAGGTGGAATACATCTGTGAAGAGGGTAATTACGTGCTAGATAAGAAGATAAACGAGATCAATCAGCAAACCTCAATGTATCCCTAATGCAGTCTGCCAGTGCGATTAATCACCAGTTATCAAGTGTGATTCATTCTAATATCTCGGAAGCACGTGTACACATCTAAAAGTAGAGTATGGTTAAGGTTTAATGTTTCTGTAGCTGGTGATATAGAAAGGATCAATGGAGTCGAACGTTTTTCCATTGCATCACAGAAATTAAGCAGTCCAGAGAATTCCTTGCTAGGTACACGTCACCATGAGCTCATACACTCGGTGCTAGATTTCATTTTAATGTAACATTAGCGTAGCACACATCCAATTATCATGCCATTTATCAGTAGACAATCATGTACACCAAGATTAGATTGACAAAAAAAACTGCACAAAAGACTTAGCAGGTTGAAATATTTCATCGAAATTTCTGCTAGGCATTGACAGAAGATATAGCATACCTAGCTTGGGTCTACAGGTTCATATGCTTTCCTATATGAGTGTACTGATTTCAATACGATAACTCAAATGATTATATATAAAAAATGGTATCTTTCTTGTATCGTCTGGGATCTCTGGCCTTTGGTTTAGGGTTTGCATCAACCGTACTTTCTGGAAGTAAATACGTATACACCGTCATCTTAGTTGATGCAATTGCAAGTGTATCTTCGGGACAGTATTGGCCTACTACTATTGGGTGATCGCCGCAGAGAAAGGCAGTGTTCGTACTGCTACAGCGGTACATGTGTGCGTACGCAGAGGCAGAATGAGCTCGGTTCGTGACAGAGTACAGTACAGAAAGTAAATTGCTCATGTCTGAAGCGCATAACGATGCCCGTATAACGCTCTGCGTACGATAACATTTCTGTCAGTGTATCGTTTTCCTGGTTTTATATTAGCCGTATAACTTTATATTATGTAGGTGCGCCGCACAACATCGTCTGTTTATGGTTCTACAGCCATCTTCGGGGTTTCGGTAAAAACCTGCCGTGTTTCTGTGAAACTGCGGCGACAGCTGAGCGGTAATGTGTTGAGGATGCTGTTGTTGCATCTTTCCTGTGCTTTTCCTACAGTTATAACTCATTCGTATGTTCATCAGTTGGTACCATGAGAGTAACAAATAAGTAATTCATAAATGTGATTAGAATGTGTAAGGGGTCCACGATAATGCATGGCAAATGTCTACACCAATTACTACAATTTCCTCAGGCATCAGAATCATGGCTTCGCCCCCATCATACGCACTCACGCACACGCACGCACGCACGCACACACAGCATGCGCGTACACTGGCAGTGGCATTCACTGGGTAGTGAGGTGGGCAATGTATCTTCGAAGAAGGTGCCATCTTAACGATGTGGGCAAGGCGAGCAGTGTACCTGCCTATTATTTTCGTTCGTCCAGCTGTTTCCTGGCAGCCCATCTCTCCGAGGTTGTGACGAAATGGTCTCAACACACACGCACACGCGCATGCACGCGCGCGCGCACACACACACACACGCGTGCGCACAACACACACGCACAGCACACAGACACGCACGCACGCGCGCGCGCACACACACCCGCGTGCGTCTGACGCTCGGCATTAAAGTTTTAATATATATCAGCTGGCGGATGTTAAAGTGATGCTATTAAACTTACCAGTTCGCATGGAGTTCATTAGATCAGCTCTGGTTGATGAGGGTTGGCAAGAGATTTGTCTGCTAAAAAACCTGCGCGGATGATAGCACGGAAATAGTCGGCACCCCGTTACTTAATGTCTTACTGTAACCGTCTATAACTCAAGATAGACACTCGTCAGCCTTTCACGGGGAATGCGTGTAAGCATTTGTAAAATACAGGCGTCCAGGATTATTTGATGCGGGCGTTGGTGTTTGTTTTCACTAGCGGAGACACTACTGTAGCTCATCTAAACCCCGTGAATGGAGGGAGAGAGGTAGAGACGACAATCTCGTGCGTCGTATCACGCGGTATTATCATTATGCGATATTCAAAATGCCATGCCAAAGTTTATTTGTATTCGATGATAGCAAAATGTGTTTGTAGTCTAGTACTTTAGTGTGGTCGGTTAAGGTGTGCACACTTACACGGCTCTCGCGTGCTTGCCTAGCCACCGCATTTTCTTCTTGTTCAAGGAGTAACAAAACTTTGCGTGCCACTGCCTATGTCTAGCGGCGCAGTAACCACTTCAGAATCTGACGTATGATCAGGGTTGTAGAGAGCTGTGTAGTAGTGACCAGGTCATGTGAAGGTTGGTGTGGTCAAGATCAAGCTCAAGGTGCAAATTAGGATATAATGGCGCAGCTCATGTCCACCTATTTTACCATGTTGTTTTCTAAAGTCAGAATTAAGTCGTTGTCCGAACATTGTGAGTAATGCGTTCGGCTTTAATGAACGAGATCCATACGTGACTCAGGATGATGTACCTCTCTCTATACGCACTTGATGACTTGTACTTCAGAAAGCGCGTTGCTTACTTGCCTGTCTGCGGCGAAGACTATGGGCTGTCGTTCATCCCATCGCTTAGGCGTGCCTCTTAGCATACTCACTCTATTCCATATACTTAAGGTTGTTATCCTTTACTATCTTGGCGGAACAGCAGTTCACGACAGCATGTAGTTGATACTCATTAGTGAGCGACCAGACTTGTAGCTTCAGTATTCTAGTGTATGACCTTGACAAACTGATGACTCTACGATCGCAGGCAACAGTTGTTAGGCAACAAGGAGTTTGAAGAGCAGGTACTCGTTCGCTTCATTATATAATCACACACACGCGTTGGGGCTCGACTCAAAATAAAGACACCCACAAAACTTATTCTCTCCTATGGAATAAGACACGATGACTCTTTATGTGACGTCCAGCATGGAATGGAAGCGGATTCTGGTTGCTCCCTAGGGGAGCGAGTGCTGAATGTTTCGTCGAAATTCAATGACGATGCGTTATCATTCTTATTCATGTGTTAGAACGTGTTGGTGTGTTCGTGGCTAGCAGTAAGCTACACTTCTCTATCTACCTGCATATTACGGCTAGAGACGCTGCTCTGCTAATGAGCTAGAACTAATTGTGGCCATGCTACTGCTAAAGGTAGTGTGGTTATGGTTGCAAACTCAATTAAATTTTAATTATGGCAGTTAGACCTATTTTAATAATTGGTTGACCATTTTTCTACTTTTGATATGAACGGACATAGGAGAATGCAATGCAAGCTCATGAAGTGTAACACTCCAGCTGTTTTAAACTTGAGTGAGATTTATGTCATGCGTGTTTTTTTCAACATCTGCTTCAGACTTAAAAAAATGCCATCAGCCACATCTTGAATGTAATGCTGACATTGTACTCTTCAACGTGTGCTTTTGAAAAAGAAAGTTTTATGCTTATGAATTGTTTTTGCTGAAAGAATGTCTTTTTCTTTGTATCTTGTTGTATCAGCTATAGACATAATGTTTTTAATCGGGCCAACATTGCTGCACGATATTGGCTAGGGTTTACATGTGTCTGCATGGCATATGCGCATATGATTCATACACGAAAATTATTTACTACAACACTTCTCCATACAGTGTATTATTCAAATATATTCCCAAGACTGTACAAATACTGCTTATACTGACAAAATACGAGACCACACTTTTCATTGTGAACTTTGCATCACGTACAAACCCACATTTCTCACCACGAATCTGATATTACACCTACTTAGTATCGTGTAATTGGCTTTATAGATAGTGTAGAAAACGTGCATATGTATATAACTGATGGAAAAAATTCATAAATACATCTGAACTACTGAGTATTTTGTATGAGCTACGACACTACTGTTCATTCTAGTTGACATTGATGCACCAAAATATGATGCAACTTCTACAAGAAAATTCACCAATATATATCCGCCTCAGATCTCCCAGTTTTCTCAGAACCACTAATTGCATCAACCCAATTACAACCTGCTTCGTGGTAAAAGTGGACGGTATCACTACTGCTTAAAACTATGCGCCTACATCTGAGCAAGTTGCAATATAAAGTTTATACAGAGAGGGAGCCAGGAAGTTCTAGTTTAGAGTGGCATGACCCAGTTTTCGGGGTGGGTTGCGGCATTTTTCTTTCCTGATTTGCTGCGTGCTTAGCACATTACACACAGCCTAATATAATAAAAAAAACTAGCTAGCATGGTTTTAACGTGATGAGTGGTTACCCCAAACAAAAATAGCTATTTGCATCGTTCGACACAGTGAGTCATTACGCATGCATGCATGAACCCACTTTAATATAAATCATGAGTTCTCACAGTGTGGCACAAGCGTTACTCGGCAAGATACAATTACATTTACTAATCAACATCAAAATCCCCTTCAAAATGGTTTCAACTACATTTCAAATAATACAGATGGTATATCTGCATAGCGATAGATTACAAAATCATCTTTACCATGAGCTCTACTATACTTTCAACAATTACATAGCTTTTTAACACAAAAACTAAGAGTATGTAAAATACTAGTGTCGACAATAAATGTCCCTTTCTCATGATTTGTCACACCTTACAATGTACTCGTATGAAATACCATGCTGCAAGGGGACATATCCCTGGTTTCTCAAATACCACTTGTGCATTAAAAGATGCATTTACGTTTATATAAAACTGTTATGAGTTGAAATATCTTCATCATAAAAATTGTTTACTATGTTAGACACAATATAAAATGTACTCAAAACAGTTTGCGCATTGCTACAAAAAATATAAATTGATAAAATATTTTCCATACACTAGATGGTGTCAAGAGGAACAAGCAATGACAGACACGGTACCATTACCTGTACCAATCTTTTGACACCCATCACTATACCCCCCGTGTTCACACTAGGTGTCAGGCACTTTAATGGCATTTACAGGAAGCTAGGGTAATATTTCAATATAGCTGTCTTTGAAGTAAAATAACTTAATGTTCCTAGCACCTCAGTGCCTCGTACTGTTAGTATCATGGGTCTTCTTCTTGGGTGTAGTGTTCGCCAACCTCCTGCTGATTGCTGTCATGTTCTTCGGACATGTCATCCGTGTACGTTCCATCGTGCCCTTCACTTTCGCTGGGCATGTGGTAGGTATTACTGGAACAATAACAACAGGATTTAGGTTCTTGCTGCAGATAGTACGACTGCCACAGCTATCTCACTCGCCCTCCCCTGTTGCCGCTGCACCCTCCTTACTAACGTATGTCTTACTCGTGTTATGGGTACTTCACCATTACCATCACTGCTACATGTGCTACCCTGTACTACTACTGCTCCTCCCATAGCTGCCACTCACTCTGTTTCTTCATGTTCTGTGGCTCTGTCTCTGTCAGCCGGGCACTGCAAGCACTTGCTCACATTCACGCCATAGTTGATGCAGGTATGGCCGACGCACTCGCAGCAGCCATCGTGGAACCAACGGTACTTACTGGCACCCATCGACGAGCAGGAAACTTTACATTTATTCAGCGACATGCACTGACTCATGAAGGCCGCAGTACAGTTAACATCACCTGTAACGTACAAGCCAACACACATTACTTTGCTGTGTGGTTCTCATAATTTTACAGCGCTACAAATCAAGTTGACCAATACTATGAATATGGAATCGAATTAATCATACATGCCTTTGACATAATTGCAGCATTTGATCAAGATAATGTACTAATATATAACTACTTATTTTAAAGTACTCTGGCATTGTTATTATACCAACTGAAGTTAATTCAATGGCAATTTAACATTGCATCACTATGATTATGCTAGCATACAATATAGATTTTAACAAGGCCTGTACTATAAATATAAAAACGTGTTAATAAAAAATTCGCATCGGTAATAGAATTACATAAAAACATAATTTACCCAAGCAGCTTAAAAGCTTTAAGTTCAACTAAACCAAAACATCTTTTTGCACCATTTTACACTAGCTATAAAACAGCCAATTGGATGTTAAATACGAGAGTGTAAAACCACGGTTTTACCACATCATGACATGGCACCCGAATGACTGGTCACGGTGGCATTGCTAATTCATGGAAAATTTACCCATAACAGCGGTCGCCCTGTGAGGACTTGCCGGTTGGAACACGGCAAGGTCTTCGTGCTGTGGGAAGTTCATCGACACCCATCTCAGCAGGTGATCAGCCTCTTCAGTTAATACATTGAACAGGTCTGGGATCGGCTCGTTAAGATCCTCGACAGAACTTTTCTTACTCAACCTATCGATCACTTTCGCTTCATTTGGACACATTCCTAGATATAAGGCAGAAACAGTTAATGATTTTAGCATGTGGACATTCATGCATAATAAAGCAACTTGGGAAAAGCGAGCGCTACCCTTCAAGCTATCTGCATTGCTCTCTGTAATGTAGAATGATTTATGCTATGACGTCAGGAGTAAATGATTAGAGATTCTCTATTGATAGCATTCAAGTTACAAAAAAAGCAAACTTTGGAGTTCTAATAATTTAGCCTTGCACTCCTTTTTTTCTATTTACCCCTGTTATGGGACAAAAATGCCCCAAGTTCACAAAATTTCACAACAACCAAGTGTTGTTCAACCATTTATTTAGAATGTAAGCCCCCAAAACATGTCGTACTTTAGTAAATAGCTTTGCAACACTTACCAACACAGGAGCAACATTCCGTGTACAAGTCATGCAGACACTTGTAGCAGTCACGGCAGCATGTGCAGTTAACTTTCATATTACACTCACAGGATTTCAGCAGCATGCACTTGCTAACGACACTTGCACACACCGCTTCATTGCAACCATAGAGCTCCGCTGCCGCACATGTGGCTGCCACCGCCAATAGCAGAGAAACAATGTAGCACCTTCCAATCATCTGTAATAAATGTGCAGTGTCTCTGCTGAAATTTCACTTGCTAAACTCAATTACATCTCATCAATAAATGTTTTAAGTTGTGGTTTTAAAAGGAAAGTTAAAAAATTCCTGTGCACGTGACCTCTTAAAGATGATACCACTACTTAAATAAACAAATGTAAAAACCTTATTTTATTATTATGCTGAAAAAGTACAGGCTATGCAGTGGTGCACGCTATGCTACGCAAACCCCCACCAAAACCACCAGGGGGACTTCAACTAAAACGCCAAAAACCTGTAAAGCCGTAACAACTCTATGGCACCTACCCATTGAATTACAGTGTGAAAACAGAGTTTCACTTATACCTGGAAAGTCTATAAATTATGACCACTCACCCTAAGTTGAAGAGTTGAACCAGATGACAACAACAACGACGACAACAACACCAAAATTGTCAACACACATCACAGCAATAATACAATAACATGCCGAGACTGTGTATAGCTGTCATGTCTATATTAATATAGGTTAATTACTAATACTAAATAGGGAGTTGGGTATACAATAGGCATAGATATATATACAAGCACGTGTTTGTATATAATCTATAGGTATGCTCTACGGCTACACCCATGAGTATGAGTCAACTATGAGTATGACTCATAGATATACTCATATAGAAGATATATTCAGTCTATCTCAGTCGATATCCCAGTCTATGAGTATGACTAATACTATGTCTAGACTATGCCTAGCTCCAAGAAACGGTATTGCTAGGGTTAGAATACCGTAGTCGGTATATGACGTTCGGTGTATGACGTTCGGTCGGGTGTATTGACGTTAGTCACACAGCCTGGTTGGGTTAGACTATGCCTGGCTTAACCCGACCAGGCTGTGTGACTACCGTCAATACACATTATTCACGACATAACGTAACATTGACATACGTCGACAACATTGACATAACGTCAATACACAATATTCTAACCCTAGCAATACCGATTAGAGCCTACCGTTTCTTGGAGCTATGCCTGGCTGTTTTGTTTACTCTAGATTCTGTTAATTCCTATTGTAACGTTTATAACGACGATGCCTATTGTAGGTGACAAGGTACCTCTTAAATAGGAATTAACAATTTTCAGACCATTTTAGTAACAACACCTTGTGTTATACCTTATAGTACTATAACGTAGTTGAACTTTACATCAACTGATGATTCAAGCCTCTTGTGTTTATCTCTGACCATCACTTCTATCCCACAACGCCCCCATAAACTAACACAGGAGCAATGTGGTAGCGGTTTACTAACATTATTTATTTAATTTATGGAACGCTATAGTTTAGCTACTATATTAATTGAGCATAGCCGTAATGTAAAATCGATGCTTATTTTTATTGTTTTCGTTTGTTTTTGTGCTAATAACTATTAATCGGACTTAGGAAATAGCTTTGGTCGATCAATACGTCACTTCCGACTGTGAAGACGAAGCCATAACCAACAATTCTGGCAACAAATGTGGCAATAAAATGGTAAGTTTACCTTTTATATCTTTTATTGTGTTTATTTTATGCATCTGCTTGGTCTTCGCATATGACAGGAAAGATTGGGTTCGAGCGGCAGTAACTTGAGTAAGGTAGAGTAGTATATATATATTGCACAAGACGGAGTTAGCTGAGTAGCTCCTAGCTCCAAGAAACGGTATTGCTAGGGTTAGAATACCCTGCATAGAATACTCAATACTTTGTAGAGAATACCCTGTACCCTGTAGGGTTAGAATACCTTGTTAGAATACCTCTGTATAGACAATCCGTCGCACAGCCTGGTCGGGCTAAAGACGGAGTCAGAATCGACTGTAGCTCTATAGTATAGATACAATAAATAATGTAACCCAAACCCAGGCAGGAGGATTATGATAGGGTTACAAAGCGTCCCTATCATTTTGTGTGGAGGAAATTCAGGGAACCCCTTTGTGAATCACTCAGGGCGGTTTGCTGGTGCGTTTTTAGAGACTAGAACTTCCAAACTGGGTTTATTCTCAACACAAACCTACAAACCTATCCTCCTGGGTTTGGGTTACATTATTGTATCTACTATCTAGTAACTCTAGTACTATAGGGGTAGCCCGCTTACATTAACTGCCGCTGGCCACTGCCACGGCCACGGCCACTGCCACTGCCACAGCCACTGGCAACGGCCACTGCCAGCGGCAGTTAAACTTAATGTAAGCGGGCTATAGTACTAGAGCTAAATCGACTGTAGAGTGTAGTACGTGTATCAACTATCATCATCGACATCTAACCCGACCAGGCTGTGTGACTAACGTCAATACACATTCTAACCCTAGCAATGCCGTTTCTTGGAGCTACATCGACATCATGATAAATCACTGACACTGCCGCTGATAGGGGCTATGTCCCCCAGGGTACTATCGGAGGGTACCCTGGGTACGGTTCGATATATCGGAACGTACCCTGGTACTATCTAATATGCCGGACCATACCTTGCCTACTCCACTAACGTCGTAACGAGTCTAGGGAGTCGCCTATGCCTACTCCCTAACCCTAACCCTATAACGCTCATGATCATAGGGTCTATGTCCCCCAGGGTACGGTCCGGTATACCGGAACGTACCCTGGTAACTATCTGATATGGTTAGGGTTAGGGTTAGGGAGTAGGCGTTACCGTAGGTGACTCCCTAGACTCGTTAGTGGAGTAGGCGAGGTATGGTCCGGCATATTAGATAGTACCAGCTTACGTTCCGGTATACCGAACCGTACCGAGGGTACGTTCCGGCAGTACCCTGGGGGACATAGACCCTCTCAGCAACCCTAACCCTATTAACCATATCAGATATATAGACTATAGTTACCAGGATATGTTCCGATATATCGAACCGTACCCAGGGTACCCTCCGATAGTACCCTGGGGGACATAGACCCTATGAGCGATACGGCCACTGCACTGGCACTGGCCACTGCGACTTGTGGTTGTGCTCTAATAATTACCATTATAAAATGATATTAAAATTAGTAAAAATATGTTCTTAGGTAGTGTGAGAGGTTGTGACTAATGAGTAATGACTATGACTATGCATGAGCGACTGTGAGTATGAGTCATAGTAATTCGTACGAGTAAATAATATTAATAACATACAATATATACTCTGATGTGTACTTTAAATGTTAAATTACAGTGAGGTGCGTGCACGTCAGCTGTGTCAGGTGGTGTGTGGCCTGTGGGGAGGGTGCATTCACCCACCCAGAAAATGTTGAAATGTTCTTTCTTTATCTTGACATCTTCTCCCAGGACATGTTTTCAAGCCTTGATATAAAAAAACTAAAGCGAGGCATAAGGCCAGAACTAGGTGGTTTGCATTGAAGCGAACTTTGCAAAATCCTGCCAGAGATTATGTAACAGGAATGCAGGCAATGTAATAGTATGAGGCAATGTAAATAGGAGTTGTTACATGAGTACTGGTGGCTCACTGCATCTTGGGTGCAAAACTGCACTCCGTTTAAGTGTCAAGACAAGCTCTGCCACTCGGCTGCAAGCCTGACGTTATGAACATTATTTGCCATAGAATCTTCCTAAAGTAATACCGTTCAAGTTAATAATAAATCAAGTTTTTAATTGGTGATATAAAGCACGTTAAAATTAAAAGTATATATATATCATATGGTTATATATTTATTTACTGTCATTTTGGTATTGGAATGGCCCAAGTGCCTTAATTTGGTGTCACTGTATGCAGTGATGCTCAGGGGTCGAAATCAGCGGTATCCAGATATCCGCAGGATAGTAGATTCTTGTGTTGGATACCAGATTTCAATGCTTGCCGCCAGGATAGTAAAAAAAAATCCTCAAAATCGGGATAGTGGTAACTGGTTGTTGAGTTATCAACTTTATACGGCAGCGCATCTGAGCGAGTGCACGTAGAGCGGGTGCGCGCGATCTGATCATAAATGTGATGTGTATACATTGTATCAAGCGAACCATACAATGCGTCTAGACAATACGTCTGCAGTGTACTTGTCTGTATCTGTGAATCTGTTTTCATGTTTTTATATAATAATTACATTACATATTAATAATTTTCAAATGCTATTATTGCATATTTCAAGATTTTGGATACCAACATTGTTTAAATTACTATCCAAAAAATGGGATACCAGATCTTTGGGGGGGATACCAGATTTCAATACCTGGTATCCCAAATGGATACCATAATAAGAATCTAATTTCGACCCCTGATGCTTAGTCGCTAAAGGAGAAAGAGGCAGTTGCCAGTTTTTTTATTAATATCGTCTCAGCTATTTTGCTGCAGTGGCAACAAACAGGACAATCTATTCAAGTCATGCCTCAGAACCCTCTCTCCCTAATGCTGATGGTAACACAACCAGTCAGTTGCTCAGATTTGTTACTTCTGAATCATTAATCTAGTATGGTGTACGATTTACTTGCAGAGCAACTGGAACAGTGGAGTGTGATTAAGTTCCTTGGGAAAGCTTCAGCGATCATGCATCTATTAGGCACGATGTCTCCTAAAAAATAATAGCTGCCACCGAATAACTAATGAATCGCGCCGTGTACACGTCATTCTAAACATCCGTTCGATTTCCATCTCGTCAACATGCCGAAGAGAAAATACTCTGAGTCACAGGCGCTGGCCGTCGTTCCGTTGCCCATTCAGACGTTCCTATGGCGACAGACGAGTCCGTTCATTCGCCCGAAAATCGGCAAGCTCATCGAGGCGTCGTGCGTTTCGTTTGAGCGCGTCGTCGTGCAGAACATCGTTCACGGTCTCTCGCCGAGCCTCTCCGACGCCATCGAGAGCATCTCGCGATGGAAGCTCATCGAGTCGGCGTTCCCGCACCTGATGCACTGCTGCGCGGCGCTGCTGCAGCTGCGCAAGCAGGAGGGCCGGACGGGCCGCTTCGGCGTCTGCGAGACGAAGCTGCTCTACACGCTGCACTGGATCATGCTGGACGCGGCGGAGGAGTGTGAGGACGTCGACGCGCAGGCGCACCGCAGCAACCGCCCGAAGGAGTTCCTCTTCTCGATCACGTCCATCCAGCTGTTCGTCTACCTGTTCGCGCCGCTGCTCGCGACGATGGAGCCCGAGGACTTCAACCTGCGGCTCGAGAGCGGCCTCAAGCTGTGGCAGCCGCTGAAGGAGTACCGGCAGCCCGACATACCCTGCCTGACCGCCCTCATCCGGCCGAAAAAGACCGTGCTGTACCCGGACAAGAAGGAGCGCGTCGGAGGTCAATTCGGCGGGATCTTCGTCGGAAAGCGCAGCCCGAGCGAGGATTTCGACTTCATCAACTTCGGCGGCCCGCCCGGCGTCGACGCAGACAACGCCGACGCGCTGTCGGTGCGGGCGAACAGCGACGCGCCGTCGTCGCTGAAGGCGCCGCTCGCGACCATGTCGGAGATCTGCGGCTCGACGACGTACTCAGAGGCATCGTCAGCGCGCGTCGAGATCGCATGCGAGTGGTGCGGCACGGTGATCACGAGCCGGCGCGGCGAGTACCGCACGTGCAAGTGCGGCCGCACGTGCACGCCACGTGCGCAGCCCTCGACGACGACAAGGATCAACAACAACAGCGACCACGACCTGAAGCTGATCGTCGGCGGCGGCGACGACGACGCGGGCGTCGACAAGGGCTTCATCCAGGACAAGCTCGACTCGGCGCTGAAGATGCAGCTGACGCGGTCGCCGTCGAATCAGGACGTGCGCGGCGCCACCTACTTTGACGTCGCCGTGCTGCGCTGCCTCTTCATCCCGCAGTGGGAGGAGGACGGCGTCTTCTGGGCGCTGCAGTACCTGCACGAGCGGCTGAAGGAGATCCGCGACGAGACGTGTCGCACGCAGCGCACGCGCCAGCGAAGCTCCTCGCTGCCCATGCCCAAGATTACCGTCTCGCTCTACGAGACGCCCGAGGCGTCGGCGCGCGACCTCAACCTCGACTTCCAGACGGAGTACTCTGACCACCGCTCGAGCTTCGAGAACATCGCCGGGGGCAACGGCGGCGGCGGCAGCGGCAGCGGCAGCGGTGGCGCGTACAAGCGCGTGAAGGTGGACACGCGCGCGTCAATTGTTGCGACGGCGAGCGACAGCACGAGCACGACGCACTCGCTACCGGACGACGAGGTGCAGTTCACGATGGGCGGCCGGCTGCTGAAGCGCGAGCGCGAGGAGATGCTCGCGCTCGAGAGCAACATCTACGACCCGCCGTCGCGTCCGCGCTCCGCCCTCGCCAAGCTCATCGAGAACACGATGCAGAGCAAGGGCGGCGATGCCGGCGGGGGCGGCGACGGAGGAGGAGGGACCCGGGACGAGGCGGAGCGGCGCAAGAGCCTTCCGTCGGTGTCGCCGGACGAGGAGAGCGGGCGCACGCGCGCGAGCACGAGCTCCAAGATCGACAAGAACTCGGACCAGTCCGTCAAGAAGCAGTCGGTCGTCTCGACGGAGACGCACCCGATCATCACCATCACCGAGCACAGCCCGGAGCCGGTCGTCGCCGCCGCCGATGACTCATGCCACAGCTCCGTACAGGGCGCCGCCGCAGCGGTTGCCGGGGGCGACGAGAAGCTGCTGTCGAAGTCGACGGCGTCGATCCAGCGCAGCTCGACGGACTCGAACATCCGCTACACCGTCGAGGAGCTGTCCGAGGTCGCCGGCACGCTGCACTACACGCGCAAGAATGGCGACATTGAGTACGGCGTCGTGCTGAAGGCCGCGCACGCCGTCATGATGCGCGAGACGTCGCTGCGCGTCTGCGAGGCCGTCCTCAACATCCTCGACATCCTGCTCGAGCTCGGCACTCCCGGCAAGACCCCCGACGAGCTCGCAGACGACGACAAGGAGAACGACAGCGGGAAGGGCGGAGTCGGCAGGGGACGCTGCGAGCAGCCGGTGGACGTCGGGCTGAAGCCTGCCGCGCCCGAGGAGCTGACGGCGCACAACCTGTGCATGGACACGGTGACGCGCATCTTCAAGGCGCTCGGCTGCCCGTACGGCTGCGGCGAGGGCTACCGCTGCCCGCCGGCCGAGCTGCTGCGCGCGCAGGGCCTCGGCACGCTGAGCCGGCTGCACCGCGGCGACGCCACGCAGTTCCGCCGCTTCCTGCGAGAGCTCGTCGCCAAGCGGCCGCTCTCGCACCTGCTCGACTTCTTCCACGCGATGTTCGGATTCTGTGCGGACCCGAACGGCGCGCTGTCGCCGCACGGCCAGAAGCGCGCGACGAACTCGACGAATGCGATGGACGGCGGAGCGGCGCGCGGCGGCTACTCGACGAACTTCGGCTGCGGGTTGAAGGGCGCGGCGAAGGGCGTCGAGGGCACGGTGCTCGCGTGCGTGCTCAAGGTGCTCGTCACGCGGCTCTGCGAGTCGTCGGCCGAGCTGAAGAGCATGGAGAACATGGCGCTGTACTGCGACGTGCGGCAGCTGATCACGTACGTGACGGCGGCTCACGGCGGCCTCTTCCGCCGCGTCGCGCTCAGCGGCCTCCTCGACGCCGTCGACCGCTCCCGCAAGAAGAAGAAGGAGCCGCCGAAGAAGGAGCCGGTCGTCGCGGCGACGGGCGACGACGACGACGGGCCCGACTCGGGGCCGCGCTCGCCCGCACCGAGCATCGGCGAGGAGACGCCGCGTGGCAAGGAGAGCCGCGCGAAGAGCCGCCAGTCGATCTTCCGCAAGAAGGTGCACAAGGTGCTCAGCAACAGCAGCCTGACGGGCGACGACTCGGAGGGCGAGGGGTCGGCTCCCGCGGCAACGGTGCACGGTCGCGCGCACCGCGTGCTCACGCCTCGCATGAGCTTCAGCGAGGAGGACGCGTCATACCCGAACACGCCCAAGCGACGCGTCAGCAAGTTCCAGCTCGTCAGCTGGCTGAAGAACGCCAAGGCCGAGAGCAGCAGCCACGACGACGATGATGGCAGCGGCGGCGGCAGCGGCGGCGGCAGCAGCAGCGGCGGCGCGCGCTTCGACGTGAAGGCGTCGTGCGAGTCGCTCGTGGCGCGCCGGCCGAGCATCATGGGACCGTCGGGGAAGAGTGCGAGCCGCATGTCGCTGAAGGCGGCCGGGCACATGAGCCTCGGCTTCCTGCGCGCGCGCAAGACGCTCGGCTTCGGGCAGCGCAAGTCGAAGCGCGGCAGCTTCGAGGAGGGCCCCGTGCGGCACTCGCAGTCGCTGCGGCACGTGCAGCAGGCATCGTCGTCGCTGAGCATGAGCGGCGGCGGCGGCGGCGGGGGCGACGCCGTGTCGCCGCTCAACATGCTCATGCACTACAAGAACTACGGCTCGGACCCGGGCAACAAGGGCCTGCTCGCGTTTGACGCAGACGCGGCGTCGACGGACGCGCTGCTGCGCGAGAAGCGGCTCGTCAGTGTCGGCGCGGTGAACGCCGGCATGCTGCGCTTCGCCTTCCTGCTCGAGACGTGCCAGCCCGGATCGTTCCCGGACCCGCAGCTCATCGCCGCGACCCTCGACCTCGAGGCTCCTGTTGTCGCGCGCGCCGCGCTGCTGCTCGAGTGCGCCTACTTCGTGCACCAGTGTAACCGCGGCAACTGGCCCGACTGGATCAAGCTGCACGTTCCCGTCTCGCGTCCGTCCGGCTTCCCGCTGCAGAACCGCGGCCAGCCGTCCGGCTTCCGCCGGCAGACGATCCTCAAGAAGGCGATCGGCCGCATGTTCTACCTGTGGGCGGAGGCGATCGGCGCCCGTCTAGAGGAGATCCTCGCCGCCGAGGACCACTCGGAGGCGACCGTCGCCGCGGCGATCCACGATGAGAAGGAGCGTCGCGCGAATCGCATCATCGACGACGAGGAGGACTTCCTCGACGACACGACGGTGAACGACGGCGGCGGCGCGTGCCCGTACGCGCTCAAGATGGTCGCCTGCCAGCTGCTGCTCGAGGTGACGGCATTCCTGCGCGAGACGTACGTCTACCTGCCGCGCGCGCACACGCACGCGCGCCGCGAGAACCTGTGGGAGAAGAGCCTGAACACGCGCCGCTGCAGCAGCATCCTCAGCAGCATGGGCCAGTCGCAGATGTCTACGCACAGCATCTCGTCGCTCATCGACATGGCGCCCGTTACCGTGCCGACGCACAGCGAGCGACGCATCAGCTTCATGGTGACAGGTGCGTTCGCGCGCGTGTGTCGTTAACTATTCAGATTTGATTAGAGTAACGTTACTTACTTACTTATCCTTTTGGTCCCTCGATGGGACATAAGGGGTTAGAGTAACGTGTATCTGCTGAAATTCTACAGAAATGGTAAATCGCGCATGAGATACTTTCACACATCTGCAGACGTCCGGAAGTTTTGTTTTCATATGCATCATTCTTGATGTGATAGCACGTATTTGTAAACACATATATATATAATGGGTGGGTATACAATATCATAAACGTACGTGTACTGCTAGAAGCAGTACATGCGTGAGGGTGGTACAGTTCAAGAATGTTCAGAATTTCCAATTCTTGCACCTGTATAATGAGGTAGTTAATGTTTCAACGATTAGCCATGTCACGTAAGATAGAAGTCCATTGACATGCCCCTGCTGTACTGCCTAGGCGTAGGTTTTGGCTACTTTGAGTATTATAATTAATCGGAACAGAGCTACGAACAAAAACTAACTAGGTGTCGCCGTTTCACGTGAAGGGACGGGACACGATGCGGACGCGGACAGCGTGCACAGCAGCAACACGACCCTCATGGTGCCGGACGATGAGTCACCGGCCGCGGAGGCGGGTCGCACGCGCAGGGTCGCGCAGAGTCGCCAGAAGCTACTGCGGCGCCACCACGGCGGCAGCGCGTCGGGCGGCGGCGCGAACACCAGCTTCCGGCGGCAGAGTCTGCGGCTGAAGAAGAAGAAGCCAGACGACAAGTCGGACGATACGGACGATAGCTTCCATCACAGTTCCTTCAGGAGGAACGAGAGCATCAAGTCGAGAAAGGTGAGCTAATTCTTTATACAGACACCACATAGCTTTTATCTACCAGCCAGAATAATTTGTACCTAAGGTATAAATACCCGTCGGTCCTACTCTGGTACCCCAGTAGCATACATGATCGGGTGGAAAATAAACAAATTTCTAGCAATAGTTTGTCCATAAAAGGTCCATTCCAAAAAGTCCAAAAGGTGAGCTAATTCTTTATACAGACACCACATAGCTTTTATCTACCAGCCAGAATAATTTGTGAGGTACCTAAGGTATAAATACCCGTCGGTCCTACTCTGGTACCCCAGTAGCATACATGATCGGGTGGAAAATAAACAAATTTCTAGCAATAGTTTGTCCATAAAAGGTCCATTCCAAAAAGTCCAAAAGGTGAACTAATTCTTTATACAGACACACAGCTCCTCTTATGTACCCGCCAGAATAATTTGGCTCAGTCCTAATTTGGGACGCCAGTGCATACATGATCGTGTAGAAAATAAACGAGTTTCTAACAACAGTTCCAGTCCATAAAAAGTCCATTCTTAGTGTAAAGACGTCTACAACATTACAACTAGTGTTGTACGGCGTGTCCGTAAGGCCATAATAAAAATATTGTTTGTTTGCCCTCACCCGACCGACCTGCCAAAAAGGGGCCGACTCAAACAATTTTATTGATCTTTTTTTTAAACAAATTGTATCACTGTACATTATATAAATCTGTAGGCAATACATTATATGTACCAAGCAAAACAAGCATTCAACATAAAAGGTATCGCCACACAAGCACACCCGAGCATGTAGACACCATGCTGAATTTGTAAAAAGACCCCTTAAAAAAAAAAGCCTACCTGCCTACCCAAACATTTCAGCCTGGGTGGGTGAGGGCAAACAAATATTTTTTAAATTGTGGCCTAGCTGCGACCGCGTCATGGTGCTGATTCTCTTCCCCCGTTCGTCCGTCCGCCCTACAGGTGAGCACTGCCTACTCGGAGCGGTCGGACAACAGCAACGAGGATCACTCCGGGGAGGAGCGTCCGGAGTCTCCCGGCGTGCTGAGCGACGAGACGGCGGACAGCCCCGCGGCGGCCGAGCTCGTCGCCCAGGAGCAGGAGGAGGCCGACTACCAGTACGCGACGAAGATGCCGTGGCTGCGCATCGTCACTCAGCTGTCTCACGTGACGACGTTCGCGTGCCCGCACCAGCACTCCTGCCACCCGGACTGCCACAAGCGGCAGATGCGCAGCTGCACGCGGCTCATGCACGCCATACGCAAGGTGTACGGCGACACGTTCCTCGCCGTGGACGGCGACGACAAGGACGCGTCGTCGACGTCTGTGGGCGCCGCCGCGCGCAAGGAGGAGGTGAAGCGCGAGAAGAGCAAGGAGCGGCTACACCGCAAGATCTCGATGATCACGCCCGGCTCGCCGACGCGGCGGCGCGAGAGCTCGTTGCTAACGGCGACGATCGACCGCAAGAACGCCGAGGCGCTCGCGAAGAAGGTGCAGCAGGTGACGCAGCAGCACAAGGAGAGCCAGCAGCAGCAGGAGCAGAAGGAGAAGCTGGCGGCGGCCAGCAAGAAGAGGGCCGAGCCGAGGGAGGAGCCGCCGATCCTCAAGTACATCAAGTCGCAGGCGCTCGAGCTGTTCCACAGCCCGCTGTCGACGTACGCGAAGGCCGCGGTCGTCATGACCGAGGAGCAGTTCACCGACGTGATGGGCATCGCCTGGGAGCTGCTGCTCGAGAGCGACCAGCAGCTGATCGCCGCCGCAGCCACCGTCTTCATCGTGTCGGCGGTGAAGACCCGCGAGCGCGCCGTCGACATCATCACGCAGCGGCTCGCGCACGAGAACCCCGACGAGCGCATCAACGCGATCTTCCGCTTCCGCCTGCTCTGGCTCAGCCGCTACCAGTGCTGGCCGCGCATGGAGAACGACGCGCACACCGTCTTCAAGGTGCCGCCGCCGAACATCGACTTCACGATGCCGTCGCCGGCCGTCGGCCTCGCGTCGTCGAACGTCGTCGACCCGCCGTGGATGCCGCACTTCAAGACGAAGATCGAGGAAGTCGCGCTCAACCAGGATGGCTTCGGCACGGCGCGCTCGTTCGTCACTGCGACGAAGACGCGCCGCAAGCAGCAGCTGGAGCGCGTGCACCAGGCGCTGAAGGCCGAGGACGAGAAGCGGCGCGAGTCGCGCGAACGCTTCCACCTGACGACGGTGCCGATCGCGCTGCGCGCCGGATACGAGCCGAGCCTCCACCAGGTGGCGCCGGAGGAGCACGGCGACGAGGGCGACGAGGAGCGCGTCATCGAGCACTTCCAGGTTGGGATTGTTGTTTGATTAAAATTGGTTAGATGGTTGATTAATTAATTAATTGGTAATTAATTGATTGTTCGATTACGATTTTCAGCAATCGATTAGATAATTCCACCTAGATGTAGGTTTAGCTACATTGCTACCATGCACTAGGCCTGTACTAGCTACACGTAGGTGCGTGCGTGCGTGCGTGTGTGCGTGCATATAGGGATGTATGTATGTATTTAGGTAGCTACACGCTATATGCATACATGTACGTGTGCATGCGTGCGTGCATGCCTATGTGAGTGAGTGCGTGCGTGCGTGCATGCATGCGTGTGTGCGCATGTATTTAGGTAGCAACACACGATATGCATGTACGTGTGCATGTGTGCGTGCCTGTGTGAGTGAGTGTGTGCGTGCGTGCGTGCGTGTGTGCGTGTGTGTCTGTGTGTGTATGCATGTATACGCTATATGCATGGACGTTTGCGTACGTGCGTGCAGGCATGAGTCAGTGCGTGCGTGCGTGTGTGCGTGTGTGTGTATGGATGTATTTAGGTAGCTACACGCTATATGCATGGACGTTTGCGTGCGTGCGTGCATGCGTGTGTGAGTGAGTGCGTGCTTGTGTGCGTGGGTGTGTGTGTGCGAATGTATGTAGATAGCTACACGCTATATGTATGTGTGTGTGCGTACGTGCATGCGTGCGTGCGTGCGTGCCTGCTTGGGTGGGTGCGTGCGTGCATGTGTGTGTATGTATGTAGGTAGCTACATGCTATATGTATGTATGTGTGCGTGCGTGTGTGCGTGCCTGCATGGGTGGGTAAGTGCGTGCATGTGTGTGTATCAGGAGTACATAATAGGAGAAGAGCTTGACACCGTTTTAACAGCGTTTTGCATAGTTTTCAACTTGTAAATATTCTATCAATATGTGAATAAATATATTTAAACTTTACCTTGTTTTTGTCTATGATTCTCCCTTAATCATGTGACACCACCAATTTACCTGAAAATCGTATGTGTTCTTCAAAAAAGTTCTTTGAATACGACACGGTTTCAAACAGTTTTCACAAATGGATGCATGTTTTCGGCCAAAGTTTATTATGGGAGTGTTCTATTGTTTATGCGGAACGCTGGGGGCTGTAAGGGATATTAGGCCTCGAATTGTATTCAGCGTGTAGCATTTCCAGCGTGCTAAAAATAAATGTGTGCTCAAGGCGAGCTAGCAGCTGATTTTAGCTGTGTTGCCATCGTGTTCCTGATGATAAGGAAGCGAAACAAGTGCTGTTACTGTTCCTAATATCCCCCACAGCCCCCAGCGTTCCGTCATCGACAATAGAACACTAATCCCATAATAAACTTTGGCCGAAAACATGCGTCCATTCGTGAAAACTGTGCAAAACCGTGTCGTATTCAAAGAACTTTTTTGAAGAACATACGATTTTCAGGTAAATTGGTGGTGTCATATGATTAAGGGAGAATCATAGACGAAAACAAGGTAAAGTTGGAATATATTTATTCACATATTGATAGAATATTTACAAGTTGAAAACTATGCAAAACGCTGTTAAAACGGTGTCATACTCTTCTCCTATTATGTACTCTTGGTGTGTATGTATGTAGGTAGCTACACGCTATATGTATGTATGTGAGCGTGTGTGCATGCGTGCGTGCGTATATATGTTTACATATCTATGTATGTAGCTACATGCGCATATATACGCTGCTTGCAGGTGCACCACGTGCAGTTGGCCCCGTCGCTGTTCCCGTCGTGCCTG